GGAGTGACCATCGCGTTAACAATGTTTCTCTGGAGATATCTTTCTAAATCAATCAGCGCTCCCACAAGAGCCAGCGTTCCCTCTCTCAGGGCTGCAGGCCCAGCTGGTCCACGGTCCAGGTCCTGGGAACAAAAACACCACACCTGCCAGCCCCGGGGGGGGGGGGGGGGCTTTGAACCACATGATGAGCAGGAAACAGCCTCCAAAAGATAAAGATCTTTCTCCCCCGCATTTCATCCGGATCATTAGACGGCTTCTGAGAGCGGTTGGTCAAATCAATCGATTAAAATCTCATGAATGAATGTCATCAATAGGACACGAGCAGAAGGCAGCAGCTGACTGTGGGACCAACAGGTGACCGATACTTGTACGTGTGTTACAGATTCAAACCAAGCACATCAAAACTGATCCGAACGCCCAATTAGAGCAGATAAAGACACGATTAAAAGAAAAAAAAGGTTCAACACGGTGTCAGTTCTCACTTTCTGCTTGTTCATTCCCATGAAAAATACGTCAACAAAATGAAAAGTGCAACTCTTGCCGTCCAGGAACATAAAATACACAATAGAGCACCACTTCCTGGTGCGACTGGCTCTTCATCCTGTAGTTATGATGCAATTATTATATTTGCTGCCGTCTCTGTTATCGTAGGGTGTTCTGTACGCCTCAGGAGAAACACATCAGATTTAAGATAAAGTGAAATATATTCACGTCCATCTGTTAAGCCCCCCCTCCCCTCCCCGATGCAGGCCTGGCTTTTGTGGTCTGCTCTCAGCTGGCCTCATTGTTTATCAATGGTGAGGTCAGGACCGCACTGCTTAATGTGGTGCCATCAGATTAACTGGCCTCAATGTGCTTTATCATCAGGCATATCACGCATGCTAATCTGAGGGACGCGTCGTCGGGACGCCCGTGATGATAAAGCAAACTGCAGCGATTAAGAGTTTGTTTGGCCTCGAGGGCAGAAGACAAAAAAAAGACCGTATCCATAAAAAGGCCACACCAACGAATTTAACCAACAAACTCAGTGGAAAGAAAAGAGGCCAGATGAGGTGACGGTGGCACCGAAACTCTCAATTTACTCATTAATTCACTATTTTCCCTCTCTAGAAAGCTTTTCAATGACATTAAGCACTTCCAGAGGCAGCACCCGGAAAGAGACGGACTGAAGCATGTGAAGAGAAAAGAAAGGAGCCGAGAGAGGGAGGGATGGAGTGATGACTAATCCCATTAGGATTGTTCCACCGAGAGAAGGGGAGATAAAAGTGTGTGTGTCTTCTTCTCTCCCTGCTAGCATCCTCATTGACAGCGCTCAAAGCTGTCCACACGCCAATTTGTTCCCCAAATTTAAAAGTCTAATTTATTCCCACGGGGGGACGCAACGAGGAAATACAAGAACAAAAGAGAGCGAGAGAGAGAGGAACGGGATAGGAGCTGGTGACACGCACAACTTCAGCCACCAAAGCACCAAAACCACAAACGATAAAACACAACAAAGTCTCATCATCTGCATTTGGTACGAACATTTAAGATCAATAACAAATATTACATGCGAAGATTCTAGTGATGCAACACTTGATAAATAGAAAACAATCTGTATAAAAGTAGTCTGATATTGGCAAAAAATTACTTAATTCTGGTGACAGAATACAAATACAACCAGCAGCCTTTGTTACTTGGCAGTTTTTGGATATTTCAGAAAGGGAATAACACCGAGCAGCACAGATGGATAAACACTGCATCACCTCGCACTCAACCCTCTGAGAGGTGAGACAGCCTGACGGACACTTCAGGCAGTTTGTCCAAAGGACGACAACAACAGAACTCCTTTCTTCCTCCGGTAGACGTCGTTAAAAACAGCAAATGGCAGCAGAGCTACGGCAGGTGAGGATGTTTCACACGTAGCGAATGTGTGTTTACACACTTTATATAACGATTGACATGTCATGTTGAAAGCAGTCGGGCCAGAACTAAGAAACACACCCTGGCTCATTTTACAGCTTAAAAAGTCTGAAATATGTTTATGAAAACATTTGAGGTGAGACGTAAGCAACACAGGAACAGAATGTTGATCGTGTTTGACAGTTTGATCGGAGGTCACCAGCAGTGATTGACAGCTGTGTTAGAGACTCCTCGGCTCGGATTGGTTGTTTTCGGGCGCGGTGGAATCTTGCTCTTGGAGAACCTAAAGGTTTATTTGATATTTTTGGTTTTAAACTGTTGGTGGGACAAAAACTAAACATTTGAAGATGTCATCTTGTGTTCCGGGAAATTGAAAACTGACATTTTTTTTAAGCTTAAATCAATTAATTTGAGGAAAAATAACAGAGTCAACAAGAAGGAAAACAATTAGAGCGACGACATTTAGTCAAAGAATAACTTTGGTTTCCAGTTTCTCAGAAATCTTCAGGTTTTGGACACAATCCGAGAAGATAATCTGAATATTAATCAATTGCAATAATAAACTTTAGTTGCAGCCTTTAATATAAGAATTCATCAACACTTTTGTAGATTGTGTTTCTCATGAAAACGGATCTGCAAAGATTACTACTTCAGTTGCTACAACAATGCGCGCACACACACACACACACACACACAGTACACAAATCTAACTGAAGTATTTCAGTCTTCAGTTCCCAGAGGAAGCTGCATGAACTGTGGGACTAACAGAGGACTTCCGTGTCATCCTTTCATTATCTTGGTCCCAGCTCGCGGTCACGGGGTCATAGGCTACGAAAACAGTAGCATGCCTTCATACATATAATGCAACGCATTGTATTGGCAAGGCGTGAGGGGGGTCTTCCCAGTGGGAGTCATCCTGGTGGACAATAGCAGTAACATTCCTCTGGAAACACTGTGGCATTATGGCTGCCGGGAGGATCCCCACTTCCACCAACACTAAGGGATTAACTCCCGGGGGATTCTGGGAATTTTCACCTTTGGGAATGATTGGGTGGGTGGGTGGGGGGGGGGGGGGCAATATTTCTTTGGTTGCTGTCAAAATAATTCAGCATCACTTCTATCGCTCAAAAAACTAAACTAAACGTGTTGTGGTGTCAATAAGTTTGGATAACTTTTTGCATTTTAATCTTACTTTAGACGTTCTCTTAGCTGAATCTAAGTCCGAGTCATTTTCCCATTGGGCATTTATTTTGTGAAGTGAAAACTTAAGTAGCAGATTCGAGTTATATTTGCTTTAGTAGCCAGCGGGACAACAAATCACTGCAGTAATGGAAGAGGTTTATGGACCTGCACGGAAAATGACTCTGTATACAAAACACGACGTGTGAATGATGCACTCAGCTGAAATCAAAGAGGTTGATTCATTTAGTCTCGTAACTTACATCAGTAGAGGTTTCATCTTACTGAGAGCAGTCAGGAGGATTTAAGCAATACAAAGTGTATTTTTAGGTGAATTACATGATTTGTTGGAAGTAAAAGTGCATCTCATGTATAAAAATGCAACAGCTGCTCCTCATCGATGAGTTCAGTCCTTTTTCACAATCTCTGGAGACTCAGTCAGTAGAGAGTAATAATACACCAGTTTGATGTAATGAGCAGTATTATGGCTTACGTTTTTGGGAGTCTGGCGGTAAAAGATGAACAACAAGCAACTGCAACTTCCCTGGTTTGAGTCTGAAATTATTGTAACTTGGTACCATGTTTACATATCCAGAATATTGTCCAATATTCTGCAATTTAAGCTGCTAATGCAAACATGCTGCCCATCTGTCAACTAAACTTCATTTGACAGTATATTATCATATCAATCAATATCCAGGTATTTAGTCAAAAATATTGTGATGTACATTTTATTTTCTCCATATCATCCAGCACCATTTGGTGGGAAAGTACAAATTCTACTTGATTTGTAAAATATTTTAGTAATATAAAGTAAAACTTGTCTTAATCGCCTTGATGAGTCTACACCTCTACTATGAATTCTAACGTCACTGTCCGGGTCTAATAAACAGACAAACTGCCCAGAAGGCGCTGTCCATGCACAAATATTGACTCGAGAGGTGACCCGGGCTCTGCTATTATTTCAGCGATGTCGGGGGGGAAGGAACATTATCAGCATCAGCCGGTGGAGACCGAGAGGTTTGGTGGCAGATGTCACTGAATATGCAAAACAGAGAGAAAAGAGAGGAAGGGACTGGGGGCTGCGTCAACAATGAACAATAGATAATAAAATACAGTCTAACGTAGTTTATTGTATCTGGAAACATAACCGCCGTGCCCGTTTGTGTTTAAAATGTCCTTTAAATATGAGCGCATTGGAAAAGTGATCCTCGTCTCCTCTGCAACTCCAAACTATTGAATTAATTAATTAAGCAGAGTTTTAATTTCCAGACCAGTCAGGCGGAGACACCACCACACACCATGCATGTGTTCTAGTACCTCATCTGACATCCTAATGCTACCGTGTTTCCTAAGAACTCAAATGTTGAACTCAGCGGAGTTATTAAAAACAGGAAGCACCGTCTCTACTTTGAATAAACAAAAACAGGCCGACTTTCACGAGCCTGTTAAACGTGATGAAACGTGTGACTGCAGGGATAACTAGAGAAGACGGTTTGTATTGGGGCGGATGTTTAACTGAGACATGTAGAATAAACTAAAGTGTATTTAAGCTTCCATTTGGTTGCTTTTTCTGCCAAATGACTGTTGAAATCCTGACAACAATGATGGTTTTTACAGCTTGTGGCTATGATAAACGCTGCATCTTTGGAGATTGTTTAAAGAAAAGATGTTATTCAATCCCGGGTTAAACATGCATTTCTCTGTTAAATAACCAATTACCTGTAAAACAGAAACCCTGGACTAATAACTGGAGAAAGCAGCTAAAACGTGTTGTGATCGAGCTAAAAAGTCCCACGCTATTGATGGAAAACTATTAAAAAGAGTGCATCCAGAATAACTCCTCGTCTCGGTCTGACAGACGCTCGTCCTTCGATCAGACGCCTGGCGGAGGAGGAGACCTCGTGCTCTACACTCACCCAGACGAGGAACACGAGGATCGGCCGGTAAACCTGTGGACGGCGTCGCCATGGAAAACTGAAACCCGAGCGAGGGAGCGGGGGCCCATTGTCAAGACGACTTCACCACCGCACGGAGGAGGAGGATTAAAACGTCACAGCACCGTGGACATCCTCCACGTCACCAACAGCAGCAAGAAGCCAAAGTAATCACATGAAAAGTATAAAACAGCAAATTATTACACATTCACACAATCATCTGTGTGCCGATTACAGAACACACAAGCGTTTTCTCACTGTAATTAATGTTGAAATGCGGCCTCCTGTATATTAAAAAAACACTCCCCATGTGGCTTTAACCGCAGCAGATAAGATCAATGGCGTCACCGGGGAGCCAATCTCCACTGTAAACAAAGCCCCGCCGACCGCAACAGGAAGTAATTTACTGCCGCAGTTTAACAGTTTACTGAGAAACGCCCTACCTTCTTTCGGGAAGATGTTTATACACCGAATCACAAGGCATGTGGCCACAGACGGGTTTTATGAAAGGCCTGCAACTCTGAGAAACGGCTTAAAAAGAGTGTCGTCTTCACCTGACTGGAGGACTGGTCACATGACCAGTGGAAAGATATTTAAAGTCCGTCTCATGCCTTCATGTCACAATATAAAGACTTGTTAAAACAGCTTAAAGTGTGCATCATGATGCATTTCACGGTGAACGGATGTTACCATCCTCCTAATGAAAGAAAGAAATTAGGACCACCTGTGTTGAAACCGCTTTAAAGAACTCCAACTAATTACTTCCACAAAGACGTAGACTTTCTTCTCCAGTCGTCAGCTTGCAATTACAGTAAATCTGATACAACATGACCACTGCACAACCCAGTACACAGCATTAGCATCGTCACTGTGAGCCTTTCAGCATGCTGACATTAGCATTTAGCTCAAAGCAGAACATGTGGATGTTGTCGTGGTCGGCCGTGTGTTAAAATGCAGCTTTTCAACAGAGTATTAAAGGCGACACATCAGTCTTCATCCGAGTTCGTCAATATTAGGGATGAGGAATCACCAGAGGCCAGACAATACTCTTATTATCGGTTCGTCTAACTTCAATCATTTTCGTCGCAGCAAAAATGGGTTCGTCAGTCAAGCAGACATCTTGTTTGGACCAACTTCCTGCCAATCCCACTGACTTCACCAGATAAAACACAGCACCATCGATTGGATTGAAAAACCAAAGAGTGTAATTTGTATTTGCAGTATTAATAGTTGATGTAGTAAAAGATCGATATGTGCCGTCAGTGTAATCAATAAAATATCGCCACATAAATATCGGGATACAATGCTGATCTTTTCCCAACTTCTAGTCGATTTACGTCTTGTGTGACGAACAGGTCACTGGATGCATCTTAGGTCTGACGCACCTTTAGTTTGGTCCGGACTAAGGACCTACAGGTGTAAACATGAAGTCATACCGACTGGTGCCAATGAAATAATAGAGTGTGAGATTTATTTTTAGTCCATGTTGCAGTTCAACCAGACTTTATGAATTATAACAAGCAGGTAGAAACAGGATGAAACAAGAGGCATCTTGTGGTTTATAATTCTCAGCCACAACATATTAATTTGTATAAATTGGAGCCTCAACCAGCCTGGAGGTAAGAACGGTTGGATGTTTACTGGGAATGTGTAGCGCAGCAGCTGTAGACACAACAAACACCTCTCAACCCTAAAAAACCCAGACCCTCGAACCAGTTCACTCAAACACAAGTTTGGGCTCATTCCATTTAACAAACTGGTATAGTGAGTAAAAGTCTGCATGAAAAGACATGCATGTTCATAATCTTAGGAATATAAGCCTCTCTCCTGTGTTCCCTGGAGGTTTATCTTCTGCATAGAGGTAAGAGTACAATGCTGCGTTTAGTAGCGTCACAGATTACGCAAATTATAAAAGAAAAGATATTAATTTGACCCGCCGACGCTGGTAAATGTGCAGCTCTCACAATAAAGACATCTGCTGAAAACAATGCAACAGTTGTATCAGCAACTGTGGACTTAAAATCATAACTGGCACTCACCTTCCTCACGTCTTACAAAGTCTCAAAGTTATCGTGCGGGTGCATTTCAACACGGACAGCTCCCAGTACAACCAGAGAGAGAGAAATGAGGGATTAACAGGGAGACGTCACCCGACGCCGTCTCACATGGCGGAGGACGAGCCAATCGCGACGCGGCCGCTCGCGACACCAAACACACACACACACACACACGCATTGTAACCCGACAATAGCAGCCAGAGAGGGAGGCTGTAACATGAGCAGCCTGGTGGCTCTGGGCTTCTCTCAGCCGTAAACAGAGGCATCCCTGGCAGCTCCGTCTGTGGTGTGCAGAGGATAATGGAAGTGTGGAAGAATTGGGGGGGCGTTCCCAATGGCCCTTGGGTAAAAAGAGTTTCTTGTTAAAGTACCTCTCATTAAAGTGATACTCCAAACATCATCTGTCTGCTAAGAATGAAACACGCCTCCCTCAAGGCTCAAGTGTGGTTGCATTTTACAGTTAACTATTTTCAGGATGAATCGTTTGTTAATTAATCACCCGCCTGTTTCAGTTTTCTAATTGAATCATCAATAACAAGATCTAAGATGATTCTTTAAAAAGGAATAGCTCAACAATTTAGGCAAAAACACTTCCCTGCTTTCTTTCCAAGAGTGAGATAATAACATCTCGTTGCAGTGTCATCATCAGGTTTGAGACCTAAACCTACATAATGAAGAGGCAATAATTACCTGTACACAGTCTTGTGTTTCGTTAACAGAATAAATCAGTTAGAGTGACATGCACAGGGACCAATGAATAATCTGCAGAAGGATTCAAACAAAGGACATCAGAAAATGTGATCATATCATAAATTACAGGTATCCACTGTAACTGACAATACACACTATCCGTAACTTCTTCTCTGTGAAGTAGTTAATTACAAAACTTTTTAAAGTCACCTTTTAAGCCCAAAGAGGGTGGCATACTCTAAAGACAGGCTGTAAGTGGAGGGACAGTGTCTACTTTCTTAATTAAAGACTCACAGATCCTCCTATAAAAAGGCTCAGAAGCATGCAAACCATCACGTGTTTAACCCAACGGCAGGAAATGAGAACTCTGTGAAACTTTTAGTCAAAAGGCTCAAAAGACAGACAGGTTGGAGCAAGTCTGCGCAACTTTCCAAAGAAGAAATATAAAAACCTCCAGCTCGGAAATGAGAAGCTGAAATTCATAGATTTGGTGGAATCTAGCAGTGTGGTTCCAGATTGCAACCAACTGAATACCCCTTCACACACACCTCCCTTTCTAAGACCCCGGCAACATCAGCTGCCAAATGAAAAAGCTAGTAACGCCGGTCGCCTCGCTCGGGTAAAAGACTGGAATATTTTTGGGACTCTCTTGCTATGTTTAGACTGGCTGGTAAACAAGGCCAGCAGGCTGGTTAGCTCTCTTGATAAGGGTCGAGTTCTGCCTAAATTCAAAATCAGACTTCCTTCTCGTGGAATGCTTCAACTTGACAGACGCAGTCTGAGCACGCCTGCATAGCTGAGGGATTATCACGTATCAGTTGAGCCCTGGATTCACTTTGCACCTGCCTCGTCCTGCTTAACGTACGAGAAACAAGGTGGGTTCCTTCACTCCTCCTTTCACTCTCCTTTCACTCACTAGTCGTTCAGGAGGGATAAAGACGAGCTGCTTCTCCTCAAGAGACACAGACAACCACGGATGTTTGGTAAATACAAATTGCTGATTTCGATCATGTCTGCAGCACTTCAGCGCCTCTGAGGTCACTCTACAGAGAGAGAAAGCTGGAAGCAGGGAGGTGGTCTTGTTAGGATAAACGGAGCAGTGACAACAAGAATGCTGGTTTAATCCCAGTGTGACAGATGATACTAACCCTTCAGCAAGGCAGCAACTCCCATCACCTGATGCAGCTGGTCCCTGATCCTCACTAAGTACAAAATGTACAATTTCTACACTGCAGGAATTCACTCAAACACATCAAAAACTATGAAACACTAATGAAAAAAAGCCATTTAGTGACATATTTCTTCAATATGGCCAAAGCAGTTTATAATAACGCTGGCTGCATGTTTAATCCCTACAACAGTAAGAGGAATTATCTACACTTACAACACGGCATTTGTTGTAATGAAGGAATATAGTCATCCATGTGCAATGGAATGGCTTTTATGTTAGAAAAAAAAAAAAAAGGTTTCTGGACAACAGTGTGTGTGTTCTGCAGCTGTTAATTAGGCCTAATCGGGCACAAGTCGCTCAGTAAAACCACAAACACCTCATGGCAACATATACTGATCCTCTTTAAGTTCTTGGTAAATCAGCTCAATAACAAAAAGAAGAAAACAAATGTGTTTAATTGGCTGTTGCACATCTGCTGGTGGATATAAATGACAATACAAAACATGGTATATTTTTGTATGTTTTGACCTAATTTTTCTTGATTCTACATGAAGTAATTCATTGTGTTTGTGCTTTTATCTATAAACGTTTGGTTATTGTACAAATAGGAAAATATTCTAAAAAGGGCTCAGTACCTGTTACAACTCTTTACGTCACTAAATGTAAAAAGTGTGTTTCCAAAACAGAGTTGTAGTCTTAAAAATAAAAGCAATCTTGAGAGCAGAAGTGTTGCATGAGTTTATACTTCAAGAGCGTATTCTCTTCTCTATCCACCTCTTCAGTAGAGGAACCTGTGCCTCACTCTGCCTAAAAACAACATATTAGCCAACAGATCACCATCAGCAGAGACTTCTCTAGGATTTAGCGACTTTCAGCATTGAAGAGAAGTGAGAATCCTCCGTGTTTTCCTCGGAGCGGGGCTACGGCAGTGAAAGATAAGTGCGTGGCCTCACCACATTCTCTTCTCGTCTGCCACTCCTCCCTTTGTGGTCGCATATCAAAACAATCATTCACAGCCAGCCTCGTTCTCTTCAAGGCGTCTTTGCAGTGTGTAATTAATTCAATTTGCAGGATCAACCCGTTAGCTTTAGCAGAGATCATGAAAGAGTAAAAGTAAAAGCAAGGTTGGCATCGACCCTCCTTTCATGAAAGATCTGAGCAACTCCAAGAAAATGTTTTAAGTGCATCCAGATCAAGATATGAAAAGTATTCTGTGTTCACTTGTTGGATAAACCACAAGCCAGCGAGTGAGCAAGCGTTTTCCAGGCAGTGTTTATGAACGGTAAGTCAACATAACAGTTATCTACTAAACAAACAACTCAGAAGGTATTAATAAAGGTAGCAGGTTTGCAGGAGTTGGAGAAATGGCTCAAGAGAAACTAACAGAAATTCAGCTGAGAGACCAGGAAAAAATAAAATCCTCATTTAAACTCAATTAATTAGCAAATGGCAAATGTCAATTATCCCTCCGGATCGCCTCTGATCCAAAGAGCACATGCTGACTGAGAGGAGGCCCGAATGAAAGAAAAGGGATTAACATACCAGGAAACAAAACGTCTTTGTGAAACACACTTCAAGGTTTAGCCGGGGTTAATCCCAGCTACACACAAATACCTTCACCGACACAATTTGCCTCCCGACAGAAATCTCTCACATACACAAGTTGAAGCCTGCAGGAGTCAATCATCTAACAATCCTCCGAACGGTTAGTTGGAAACCTATCCAGGTCACACTGAGGGAACATTTCACTCCAGAATATTGTGATATTTGATGCAGCATTTAACAAGCCAAAGGGAAAATAGGCTAGTTTGAAGGATGGGTTCTTAAAAAGGAACACTTCTTAAGAGTCATATTGTACGTCACCTACGATTATCTTTAAGGATCATATTTTAGATCTACATGAAGAAACAAATTCACTGTTTTTAAATCAATTCAACCTGAAGGTGGCACCAGAAACTGCCATATCGTTACCAAAATAAAAGGGTTTAAAAAAGGGATATGTTCAACATTTTGGGGAATACACTTATTTGGTTTCTTGCCCAGAGTTAGATGAGAAGATTGATACCACTGTCATGTCTGTACGCCAAATATCATGCTACGGCCACTAGCCAGCTAACTTAGCTTAGCATAAAGAATGGAAACAAAGGGAAACTGCTAGCCTGGTTCTGACCAATGGTAACAATATCCACCTTCTGCGATGTTTGTCATTTTATTTAATAGTCTGCCTCTGAAGAACTAGAGCCACTCCCCCCCAAAAAAAAAAACATGATTGTGAACGTAAACATAATAAACATAAACGACAAACATGGATGTTAATACGTGATCAGTGAGGAGTGCAGGAAAAAGCCGAAACCTGGCCGATAACACAAATGTCTCCAAATCCATCTCTGACTCTGTTAATCCTCTAAACTCCAACAAGCACAGATTTAAAAAAGGATTTTCAAGCAGCTCTGCCAGAGCTTTGATCACACCAATAAGGACTTCCTAGCAAATGTGCAAACAATGCGAGGTCGTGGCCTGGCAGCTGCCCCAGGAAGTCTTTTAGGAGGATTCCCTGAGGCCTGACTTTTCTTTTTATTAGTCCTCCATGTAAAATGTGCTGCGCTGGCCTTGTTGTTTTAGATCTTACAGGTTGATGCCTACAGGCTACTTGCATGATTTACAATCTAATCTCACTAAACCCATGTAGCTTTCATCAAATATGCACCTTTTTTTCCTTCAGTTCTCAGTGACGTTTGGCTTATGCATGGGAGCTCTAATCGTTTCGTTTCAGTGGATCTACAAAGTAGGTTTGATCTCGTAATAACAGGGCCGTCCCCGAGGCTCATGTAGGTCTTCATCCCACACTTACAGCTCTGAACAGCTGTAACAACTCCCTTCACCTCCACACTCGAATACCCACACCAGTAAGAAGTAAAAAGGACATGTTCTTCAAGGTAAAACAACAAAGTATCACTATTCTAAGCAGCCAAACATCCAAGAGAGGAACAAATGGGACAGAAGCATGCACAGATGTTCGAGCGACACTAAAATTACAACTCAGCTCCCCCTCGACGTCAAATTACAGAGAAAACACCGAGGCTGCTGCTCAACACAAAAACTGTACAGCTGCAAGAAAAGCAGGGCCAGATTTGATGTGCAAGCCGCTCAGACGGAGCAGTGGGGTGGAAGTCAGTTCCTCTAAACAAACACAGGAGGGATGGGAGTCATAATCACAGTGAGGTGGAGGTTAGGGTGAGGGGTGGGGGGGGAGGAGGCCTAGCTTTGATCATGTGGACAGAAGGGTCGTTTCACTCAGGTGTTAATTGAGAGACCTCTGCCATATGTCCACAAAAAGGGCCGACGGACCAACCCTGCTGATGTGGAGACCCGGAGCGCCTCTGAGCCCGATGTACCACCCGACGCCAGGCTGTGCTCCCCCCCCCCCCCCGACCCGCTTACGCGTTAGCGGGAGACCGCTGAGAGGCTGAGGAACACTCCGGCTGCTGATGGAGGACACGCACAATGTACAGATTTAACACTGAGCTGGTTTACAGCACCAACCAGCTCAGTCTAATGTCAGTGAAACAAGCAACAGCACAAAATAAGACTGAGCTGCTGGCTGCAGTGTCCAAAACAAAGGTTGGGCTCCACTGCAGACGACTATTATGCTGAAAATTAGGAGTTTCTTTAAGCACTTTGGTGTGTCTGATGACTCTTATGGAGTTTAGGAGAATGCGTTGTAATCAGCGTTGGTTCGATTAGGACGGCAGCACAGTAGTTTATTAAACAAATAAATAAAAGCTTTAACTGCTGGCATAAATCAAGACTGCAGATCAATGTTATACAAGAAACATTGAATTATGATAGAGTTAAACACCTGGAAAAATCATGAAAGTAGTTGATAGAAAATATGATATTTTCCCAAATCAAATGTACAAAAGATCACCAGGTTGATTAAAGCCCACAGCTGGTTGGTACTTTAATGTCTGAAGGAATGCTTTGTCGGGTCTCCTTCGATGAAAGCACGGTTTGTAATCTGTATTCTTGTTATACCCAAGTGTAGAAACGTGGACTCAGGGATGTGCCAAAAAGTGCCACACTGGAAGCCGAAGAATTTCATTAAACCGATGTCAGAGCTCATATTCTTCCCTTTGACGTATCAATTCAGTGCTTCATCTATAAAAGAAAAAAGTGTGTGTGTGGGGGGGGTAAACTGTGAGCCCTGCAGAAGATGAAGAGCCCTTTATTTGACCCCCCCCAGCACAATAGGGACCACCACCCAGGTCTATATCCCCACCATTCTTCTCCCAAAACGCTTCAGCAGAGCTTTCATCTGCCTGCTTCAACCTCTGGCAGGAAGAAAATAGGTAGTGGCACCGCAAATCAGAAGAATTAACTCTGCTGTGTGGTTCGGAGGCTGGATATGACCAACAGCACTGTATGAAACACGTCAAAGTCCCTTTCAATAAAGACACAATGGATGAGAGTAGAGTTATATGAATAATATGCTTTTATGAGCTTGGGGTGAGGGTGTTTGGGGCCTGCAAAATCTGTGGTGGAACCCGATTTAAGCTGTTAAATGCAGGGCATGCATGAGTCAGTGCGGGTCATATAATGGGAAGGGATTACTGAAACCCAAGGAGAGGTGGGTCAGTGTCTGAAAAACTGTTTTAAAGTTAAATCTCTAATGAATAAACAAGACTTTTACACGTCACATGTTGTGATGTGTAGAAGTTCAAACCTCATACATGCAGCTTTGTGAGATATACTTCCATGACACCTGTCTGGCGGGAACAAGTTTGTTTGGTTGGGCGGTAAAAAAAAAAAAAAAAAAAAAGATTAACATCCCCCCACCAGATTACCTCAACGAGCATGTGCAACAACAAACACCATATGACTTTAAACATAATCCTGCTTAACCAGCAGCGCTTCATGGGATTGTCTGGTCTGGTCGCTGCAGGACCACCTGACCCACAACCATGCAACATGCAGAGAGATATATATATATACACCGTATGCATGCCTTCATACGCACAAAACCACCATCAAACGCTTAAATACTATATGAAGTAAATATATCAGAAGCTCTGCGACTGCAAAGCGTTAACTCACCCGACGCCAAGTGTCTCCTCGAGGTGTTTTTTGGGACTTGAATGCAACTCCTCCTCGCTGTTAACTGGTTGTCCTCGGAGGTTTAGTTGTTGGAGGGTAAATCGTCCGGTTGAGGTACAAACGTAACTTCTACAAGGTTATACTTTAGCCCCGTGGCACACGTCCCGTCTGCACCGCCACCAGCCTCTTTGTACTTGTCCGCCGCAGCAGCAGCAGCGATTGGCTGATTCCGCGGTCATGCGCAGTCGGTTCCCAGGAGAAACTCAATCCGCTCAGTGTGCTGTGAGTCATGACGCTCAGGTGTAACGTCAGTTTACCTGCTCGCAAGGTTGGGCCTACTTTTGTAACTGTCCGAGCTACATGGGGCTAAATAACCGGACTATTTACTCTGTAGCCTTCATGGGGGAGAAGTTAAAGCACTTTTTACTTCTATGCTAGCTTAAAACGAGCTGGCATGGCTTTTTAGTTAACTCATTTAAGGACTATTTTAACTGCCGCTGGTTAATGTAACGACACTTTATCCGGCCGTTTAGAAAGGTGTCCAGAGACAGACTATCCGAAGATTACAGTAATTGTTAATTAAAATGCAGGCATTGTGTAACATCTGTTAGGTTAGCGTTAGTAAGGTTAAATCTCAGGAATCTTAGTTACAGGTAACACACCCGCGCAACAATATAGTTCTTGGAACCTCCAACGTATCTTAAATGGGGCAGTTTTCGTTTGGCGCATTAATATGAATGCTTGTTAATTGTGTCCTGCGTCACAGAAGTGCAAGTGAGGCTTTGTTTTTGGCTCATTTTAACAGCTTTATGAGATAAATAACCCGTAAAATAGTTTATACAACACATATGTAAAGCTATATAGTGATTATTTAGAAGTTTAATGGGAATTCTTGGCTGACACTTTGGAAGGCTGATGTTCACTGACCAAGGCCGCCATCTAGTGGCGGATTGTTCTAGAAGCATTTCAACACATAAGAAAATGTTTCCACTCTTCTTGTGCAGTGATGTGATTGGAGAGTAAAATACGTTTCACCTGTTTGTGGTTTCACATCAAGCAGTGGTGGAAAGTACATTTAATGAAGTACATTTACTTTTGAGGTACTTGTACTTGAGTATTTAAATTTCAAGGTAGCCTAATTCACAAGCTACTTTAATAGTGTATTGCTTACTTTTACCACATTTCAGAGGCAGATCTATTGAAGCCTACTTATTTCTCCACTGTCTATCTGATATCTTAAGTTTAATAATACAAAATATACAACTCATACATTACGATGTAGTATTATAGATTAAGATCAAACTGTATTGATCCCTGAAGGGGACATTTACAAGCTATCCAGTAGTATATATTATTATTAAAATAAGCTCCATCTTCATGAACTGCAACATTACACTAATGAACATATTAATACATCAATAATTATAATCTATTAATGTACATTATTCTGAAATGGGACACTTCATAATAAGCACTTTTGGTACTTTAGGTATATTTTGCTGATAATACTTTAGTACTTTTACTCAAGTTAAGTTTTGAATGCATGACTTTTATTATATATATATTTCTACTCTGTAGTATTGCTAGTTTTACTTACATACAAGATCTGAGTACTTCTTCCACCACTGTAGACACGCTAATATCTAAAATGTAATGTAAAAAATGAATAAAATATAGAAAAATGCATGTAATGTGTTCAACTTTTTTAAAACTTATTTTAGAAACATTTACTGGTTTTGTATTGTTGCATTATGTAAAAGTCATTTATGTGACAGATTAACGTGAACCTTGACAATAAATCAGATTCAATATTTATTTTTGAGATTATATTCCAACAGGGCAGTAAGAAGCAGAAGTGCAGTGGAGGAGCTCCACTGTTCTGAAGGCTTTCCACAAGATTCTAGCCATTCCAGTTCATCCCAATGTTACTGGTTCTTTCAACATTTCACCTGACTTGTTGAAACATTGAAGGGCTCTCCAAAAACTGTTTACACCAACGTTAGAGGCTAAAACATTGTGGTCTGCAGCATTAACATTTCCCTTAATAGCCAATAATAAGGGACCCAAACCACGGAAAACAGCCCCAGACCAAAAGTATATGGACGTATAGAATAATACATGGTTTGATGGACAATGCAAAAACAGCTTTTTAATTTTTTTTATTGTTTTTTGCAGGGGTAGCAGGTTTTTCCTGGTCTGTTTTATTGACTTTCCACTAACTCGAATGGCTAAATAAATCATTTTTTCTTTTTTATTCTGTAGAAAAGTGAGTACAAAACAAGTGCAGACAAGTACATGAACACATTTACGATCCAAACAAGTATACAAAGTAAGACGGGAACAAAAAACAAAAGGGGACACAAGCAAACTGAGGAGAATAACAAAGATTTAGAGCTAAAAGTGAGAAATGGAGGTCCAGCAAGATGTACCTTATATGGATGTGTGTGTGTGTGTGTCCATTCTATGTGTGATCCGGTTAATGGGTGATATATAGGGATCTTTGTGTACTATGTACAAATGCTCCTACACACACACACACACACACACACACACACACACGCACAAACAAAAATACATCTAAAAAACACATTTTAAACGCTTTACAAAAAAGCATCAGAATGACATTTACAAACAATAAGCAGTACCAAAAAAAAACAAAAACACTAACAATCATCTGAAAGCTGAAAAGTTCATCTTTTCAAAAGCAAGAGGAATATGACCCAGAATAAAGAGATGATGAAACTCTTCCTGCACTCTATCAAACCTGCTGAACAGCGCACCAGCACGTCTTGCGCAACGTTGACGTGAGTTCAGGTCTATCCTACTGGTCACATCCCTCCAACGGTAACGTTATCGTTTCATCACAGCTCAGTTTGTACAGAGATGGGTAGTGTCTCCAGCGGGGCCACACCTCTCCCGCAGCTCTGGATTGGCCCTCCGTGTCCTCACACCCACACCCACAACACTTTCGCCACTCCAGTTCCGAGTTCCAGAGCCTTTAAATCCTGCAGCATTTTACTCCAATTCTAGTCTCTCTCACTGGAACGCCACCATGTCCGACCAAGGAGTCTTCGACACCAAAGTAGTGACCATGACCACGTTCGTCATGAAGGAGGGGAGGAAGGCGAAGGGCACCGGGGAGCTGACGACGCTGCTCAACTCGCTGTGCACGGCGGTGAAGGCCATCTCCAGCGCCGTGCGTAAAGCCGGCATCGCCCACCTGTGAGTTATCGACCCCCCGCTGAGGAGAAGACATCAGTTCTTTCTCTTTTTACGCAGTTGTTTGCAGACTCGTGCATCCACGTTGGCAACAAACTGAGCCGGAGATTCAGGTTCTCAGTGGAGCCAATCAGGAAGCGCGAACCTGAAAGCACCACGCCCACTTTTTATAGTTTACGTATTTATTCATTTCAACAAAACTCATCTTTAGTGTTTATTATGTGCAGCCTTAAGGAATTAATGTATTTGTGCAACACTATTGTTTCATTTCCTTGTTTTGTCTTTTTGTTCTCAGTTTTATTGTTAATTTGCATTTGTGCACATTATTATTATTATTATTATTATTATTATTATAGCATTACTATGCGCTGTGTTGGACTTTAACTCTGCTTTACTGACGCCATCATACTGTAGCTACTACAAAAATAGACTTATCCCCTAAATATTTAAGTGAATGTACATTTTACATTGTTGTATTTGTTGTATTGTTTGTATGAGCAGAATTGTTTTCCTGCTCTAAACCTTTCTCCTGATGATTCAGACTCGATCTCACACAGAGTTTAGAAATGCAGCGTCATGCGTCACTGGCACATTTTATTTTCCTTCCTCTTCACTGGAGACTAGTTGTAATTTGATGCCAGTAAAACGTATCTCAGAACAAAGCAGTAGAGCACATTTAAATAACCTTTTGTCAGTTAACATGCAGAGAAAGACAAAATAGAAACTTTCAGAGAGCTGAACAAATGTATCCACAACAGTAGATTTGTTCTTGCACACTTCTACACTGACCTGATTTTGTGTTTGAAGACTTTTCAGCCTCACTTTGTTTGTTTTTTTGTGTTTTTTTTTTTTTTTTTAAATGTATCCTCAGTTATGGCATTGCTGGCAGCACCAATGTGACGGGCGACCAGGTGAAGAAGCTGGACATTCTGTCCAACGATCTGATCATCAACATGATCCAGTCGTCTTTCACCTCCTGCGTGCTGGTGTCTGAGGAGAACGAGAAGGCCATCATCATAGAGCCGGAATCGAGGGTGAGTGTGACCGGCGGAGACGTTTTAGATGTTGGAACAGAACTGGGAATCTTCTGTTTTGAGGTTCCTTTGGACCCCGCTGAGCTTGAGGAGACCTGCTCTCATTTAATTAGGATCTTATCTCTGAAATGACCCGTCGGCAAACGAAAAAGCAGGATCATCCATTTTTTTAAAGTGTTTTTGAGATCTTTTCCTCATGGGATCTTATCTCTTATAACCGGTTCAGTTAAACAAATAAAAAGGTCTTGGGTTTCAGTTCCTGTCAAAATACATGTCAAATAAAAAGTACTTCCATTACTTGTCAACAAGTACAAGTCAAACTCTTGCACAAAGTTCGCTGTGTAGTTTCAGACCTGGAGGAGAACTGTGGAGCTGTTTCTTTAAGAGTAAAAATACTTTTTAAAAACCTGCTTTGCGAATGCTTTATGATGAATGGAAATGTGTTTAGCATATAAATTTGACCTCAGGGATGTACACACGACACGTTTTTTGGTGAGCAAAGCTGAATATAAACATAACTTGTTTTACAAACTTCTCTTCCAGGGCAAATACATCGTGTGCTTTGACCCTCTGGACGGCTCCTCCAACATTGACTGTCTCGTCTCCATCGGAACCATCTTCGCCATCTACAAAAAGGTACGAACACAAGTTTAAATTCACGTCTTTGTCCTTTTTCCCTATTCACCGTCTTTAATCTCGCACTGATGTAGTGTTACCCCCTCAGAGTTTAACCATCCGGGTGATAAAACCTAAGAAACAAGGTCTCCACTTCTCAAACTAGTGGTCTTTTTTGGCAAAACATTCCTATTAAGTGGCAGTTAAAATGTACGATAGCGTAATGCCATTTTACTAACATGGTAAATTAAATAAAAAAGGTGTGATAAATGGATATTAAATAGTTTGAACAGACACTTTTTTTTCATAGCTGCACGTGTGAAGACTCTAATTATTGGAGCTATTTATTTGATATTGTATTTTGTTATTTCATTTATAAGTAGTATTGTTTAATTATTAAACAATACTTTATTAATTTATTAATTGTTTAATAAAGATTATTTTTCTCTTTAATAGTAATTTGTTGTTATATTGTTTTTTGGGTAATTACTGTGGGCACCTGTTGCTATATATATGAGTAGAAGGACCAGCATGCACCGGGGTGGGCGTATAGTTTTTACCAGCATATCACATCACAGGAGAGACAGCACGACAGGAGTTTTGTTAGTTCGTTTGTTTGCTTTATTTAATAAACACAAAAATCGGAATCCTGCATGGACAATCCACTCTCTTAATACCGACCACGGTGCATCAGTGGCGTTTGATTATTGTTTGATTAAGTCGACAAATGGCCACTACACTAATATTTAGTTGCAAACTGATTTTTTTTTTTTTTATTATAGTTAATAAATAAATGAATGATGAGTTCAAACTGTTCCCTCAGTACACAGACGATGAGCCGTGTGAGAAGGACGCCCTGCACCCCGGCAGGACCCTTGTGGCGGCCGGCTACGCCCTCTACGGCAGCGCCACCATGATGGTGATCTCCACCGGCCAAGGAGTCAACGGCTTCATGCTCGACCCAGTTAGTATTTGTTCAATGATATTTCATTGGAAAAGAGCACTAGGTGTACAGAAACGCACAAATGTAAATGTAAAGGCTTGTCCCTCCATATTTTGGTATTTTTCCTCCCGGTTTCATTCCACAAACACCACCAAAAAAAGGTTAAAAAATAAATAGTCAGTTCGTACTCTCTTGAAAGCCCTGTGTTTTTGCATAAAATATCTTGCAAATGTATGTTTGTTGAAAACCTGTTCTGCTTATTGCTCATCAGGCAATTGGCGAATTCATCCTGGTCGATCGGGATGTGAAGATCAAGAAGCGAGGCAAGATTTACAGCGTGAACGAAGGCTACGCGATGCACTTTGACCCGGCGGTGACAGAGTACCTGCAGAAGAAGAAGTTCCCTCAGGTAACACTGATGTTTGGGGAAAACGTCAAGTATTGTAGTGTGGTTTTTTTTTTTAGTTTTTTTTTTTAAACGTTATTTATTAACCGGGGACAGTGGGCGTTAATCAACATGCATTAAAATGTAAATATGTCAGTGTTTGCCAAGATAGAAATGTCTCATCCAAGACTGCAGATGCTAATGAGTCCTTTTATTTAAATGTTGCTCTTTAAGTTGCTAATTAACGGCACATTTTAAATGACTGCAGGATGGCACGGAGCCGTACGGCGCCCGTTACATCGGCTCCATGGTGGCAGACGTCCACCGGACGCTGATGTACGGAGGCATCTTTTTATACCCAGGAAATGTGAAGAGCCCCCAAGGAAAGGTAAAAACTCTCACTGCTGCTCCCACGCACGTCAATCTATTTCATATGAATGTTGTAAAGGACCTTAAATAAATGCTCCGGAATCTCAAATGAGCCACCTTCAAACAAAATGAATGACACAATAATATAAGTTTATGGATGTTGTGTGAAAGACGTGAGCCTCCATTGTGAAAGTTACATATTTCAGATAGCCTGCTGTAGTTTACACACATGTGAATAAGTTTAGAGGATGAAGCTGAAAAATACAGATTGAGTATATACAGAATAATTGAAAAGGTCAATAATTTGTTAAATATGCTGGATGCTGTAGTTTTTAGCAGACTATAGTGTATTTGTTGTAATAATAAACTGAACCGTGGACTATTTTCAGATAGATTTGGTATGCTATGTATTTACAGCAGCCGTATAGTGCTTGTGGGTTCAGCTCAAAATAAACTACAGTGTCCTTGTTCATCATAAAGAAGGAACATGTCACTCAGTGCTGCAGTGTGTGATTTTTTAATAGTTTTTGGACAGCAGCAGAGCTCTACGGCACAGAGGAGTGAGATACTTTGTTAGGATAACTTCATGGTTGTCATTTGTAACATGAGAGCAAACTGAAGAAAGTGTCACAATGTCGTTTCTTCACTCTCCACATCCTTCCAGCGTTTGCAAGACTGAGCCAAACGTGATGTTGTCATATTTTTAAAAACAAATGGTAGAAAGCACCTGACTTCTAATGCAGAATAATGAGTGTTTTCAAAGTGCAAAAAAGTGTTTTTTAACACGCACAACAAATGCAAACAAGAAGGAAACAAATCCAGGTGCTTGAGTTTTGAGTACAGTTAAAAATCATGCAATATTAAAGTTATTATTCTTATTTTATTCAGGTCAAACATTTGTTCAACGTTGTACAAATTTATATACTTGCAAACAAGATATTTAAGTAAATATTTCAATAAAATAATAACTATTTAAAAGAGAAGTGTTAATATATGTTTCAGATTTAATATTTATCTGCAGATTGTTTTACAGTTTTGATCCGTAAAAGGTTTCTCTCCCTGTTTCTTTGTCTTAAAGGATCATTTCACAATGTTTCAAACTGTCTTAAAGCAATAATCAGGCGTCCACGTGAACGTTGAAACAGGTTTTTCTTGCTGTAATCATTCGTCATTAGGAAAATATCTGTTGATGGGAAAGAAAAAACAGTTTCAGTGTTTACCTGACTATTGTCTTGTGAAAGTATTCTTTAACTGTTGGTACTTTTAATGCTGTATTGTGAGTATAGAAGTGTAATAAATACAGGAAAGGAGGGAGAGACAGTCTGATGAAAGAGCTAAACCATCCAGAGACTTGTAAACTAGTAATTAAATGTCGGATTATTATATTACTTTGGTAGAGTTTGACATTAGGTCTAGAAACTAAACTTCCCCCCTCTTCCTCCAAGCTGCGGCTGCTGTACGAAGGCAACCCCATGGCCTTCATCATGGAGCAGGCGGGCGGCATGGCCTCCACCGGCTTAGAGCCCATTCTGGACATCCAGCCCGACAGCATCCACCAGCGGGCTCCCGTGGCCATGGGCTCCCCCGAGGACGTCCTGGAGTACATCGCCATCTGCCAGAAACATGCCAAGAAGTGAGACCACACCGACTCGCTCTCACGACCACCGCTGTTTGGCGAGAAAGAAAAAAAACTTGTATCTCCAAACTGGAAGTCTGCCTCACTTTGAGCTTGATGTAGATGAATCTTATGGAGTTTGAAGTCTGGGGATTTTCTTAGTAAAATACCTAAATTTGGAGTCACAACTTTTATTTTTTATTTTTTTTTTGAATGCCAGAACGGCAATGTTGATGTTCTGCTGATGGATAAAAGAAAGAAGGTTCAGTAGAAACATGAAAACTGTGGCTCATGAGCTCAATAACTCACACAAACACACACATTCCCCAAAAACAACTACAAAGAACAAAAATGTGCCCTAAAAACCCACAAATGCACTTGAATAAACTAAAACCTGAAGACTTTCATTCTTCCTGTTTACCTCCACTGCCTTTTTTTTTTTTAAAAATAGAATAAACATATTCTAGTCGTGTGAAGGACCAAATACCAAAACCTCTATGCAACAAAACGTGATGCCTTTCATAATGTGAACAACTTCTGTTTCTGGAATGATGAAGTCTCAATAAATCCAAATGAGTCGAAGACAAATCGGTGTTTTCATCAGTTTGAAATGTGTCGCAGCTTTTTGCTTAAAAGAAATCTTGATTTGTTAGTCGGGTGTCTGAGAAGACTTTATATTTTTGTCTAATCTTTTATGCTTTTAGGTTACAAAGTCCCTTAGTATTAACATATTTCGTATTGTAGAAGAAAATGTTCAGCTTGTGTTCACCACAGACTTTATTTCAGGCAGACTGCAGAGGGCCCAAAGAAAAATGGCTTCCTAGAATATTAACAGCCAATAGCACCGCTGTGGTTCAATAATAATCAAGGGTTACTTGTGCTTTTCTAAACTGGAAAACAAATAAAAAATACAAGTTCCAACAGCAACACTGAGGGGACATCGACTGAACGGAGGTTTGAGTCATTTAATTCTTCTTCTTTTGGGGCCAAAACTATTTAAAATGTAAAAAACAAATACATTCAGTGTCTGAATCATGTTTTTATCTGTTCAAATATTTATTATTGAAAGAACGAAGAAAAAGTTGATTATGTAGATGAAATGAATGTCTTAGAATAAACTCATTGCGGTTTTAGACATTGAAAAGTTGTGAAGATACACTGTCAACTAAAGTTAAGAGATATTTAATCCAGAGGAGTCAACCTTTAAACTAAAGGTCAGTGGAAGCTCAGAGTCCTCTGACATTTAAAGCTCACTCGAGCTGCTGTTGTGCTTCTACTCTCTTCTTCTTCAGAAACAGAATACTGTTGTAATTAGCTCTGTTGTAAACATTCGCTGCAAGATATTTTAACCTAAATAAACGTGTTTTATTTTGAAAAAGCAAGCTTCATTAGGATATATAGAAAGTAGTTCCTCTATTGTCACAGCAGCAGAATGCTCTCAGGTTCACGTGCAAACAAATGTGGTTAAAATACTGAGAATTTCACAAAGAGCTCTCGTGTTACACAAGTCTTCAGTTACTGAACAAGTCTTTGTTGCAGGTTTTGTTTTAGTTTTTGACTAAATGAATGAAGGGGCTTGTCCTGTGCAGGATTCAACTTTGCCAGTCTCGACAGCTGACACCTGATACCCCCCCACCCATCTACAAATACACACACACACACACACACACACACACAAATAGCTCCCCTTGGCCTGCCGTCATGGCTCTGGGCATGAAAAGGACGCGGCTGGTAATGAGGTCGCTCACTCGCCGCCTGTCCGCTCTGCTGCTCGCCCAGGAGGAACAGAAGGAAACCAGAAGCCAGCATGTCGGACCAGTCGCAGTTTGACACGGACGTATGGACCCTGACCCGGTTCGTCATCGAGACCGGCCGCCAGGCTAAGGGGGCGACTGGCGAGCTGACCCAGCTCATCAACGCCATCCTGACCGCCATCAAAGCCATTTCTTCTGCTGTGCGCAAGGCAGGCCTGAACCACCTGTAAGTAAAAGGCTTAATGGGAACCATTGACATGCACCAGTGCATTACTGACTGTGATACAAATGATTAAGCAAAGACTCGTGCAGATTTGGTCTTTAGTGAACTACTTGCGCTTGCTTGCGTCCCTTTGCGAAGAGGTCAGAGGTCAGAGGTCAATATCAGCTGCAGAACAGCTGGTAGGAATTCAGCGTCTCGCTGAAGTTAGTAGATTTAGGAGCCAGAGAGTGATTCGAGGGGCCGAGGCAGACGGTGCTGATATGACTGATATTGTTCTGTGTGTTCTGTAGAAGTCACGCTGCTGCATTGTGAGCAAAGACTAGAGAGCTTTGTGAGATTTTAGGTCCATTTCAACACTCTAATGTGAGAAAAAAGAAAAGATTGTGCAGCTTTTCTAGTGAGATAACCAGCTGTTTGTGGAGGGAATTGACGTTGGAGAGAATCTGGAGAATTGTGTGAATTCATTGGGAGGCTGAAAAGGGTCAAATTCCTTGAGTGGAGCCATTTATTTATATTATGGATGGAAGTCTACCCCCATCCATAATATAAATATATATAATAATACATTTTAAAAAAGCTTGTTGAGAGGGAAACACAGCCTGTAACCATCCTTAAAGACCATCAAGTATCTTCAAACTTAATAAACTTTATTTATATATATATATATTTATATAGCACGTTTCAAAACAAAGATTACACGCTTGATTGATTGATTGGCTGATTGACTGATTGATTGACTGGTTGGTTGGTTGGTCCACACAGGCAGGGCTTGGCGGGCTCCGTGAACGTGACGGGGGACGATGTGAAGAAGCTGGACGTTCTGTCTAACGACCTGGTGATCAACATGCTGCAGGCCTCCTACGGCACCTGCTGCATGGTGTCTGAGGAGAACAAGGAGCTCATCATCACGCCCAAAGACAAGAGGGTGAGTGGACACGACGACACCATGATGGGTTAACTCCGGACTTATTGTTTTGACCTGCATTAGATAGGCATTTTGTGAAGGAACCTTATAATTCACAATAAGGTATATCTCTATTAAAAGGACAGAACACTGTACAGATACAGAAATAAGTAGAAGTATATGAAATACAGTCAAGAATAATGTTATGATTTTGTTTTTAAAGTCAAAATTACAAGGCAAGCTGTATATATACACAGCAGCTATGACCAGTGGTGTACTTATATTTATATAAGTTAGGTGACATAGTTGTGTGATTAGCAGCAGCAAAGTATATGATCTCATCTGATACAACAGTGTGAAGTCGTTCTTCACACTTTAAAGGTTCTTGTTTCCACTGAAGTGAGTTAATGAGACGCAGCTGAAAGAATCCACCTGTTGTGATTAGTACTCTTTATCCAATGTTCAGACTTCTGTTCTGGAAATATTTGCACATTAGAACATATTTAATAAGATAATACCTCATTTGCATATTTAAGCATCAAATTCCTGAAAACTTGTAAAACAAAACAATGTAACCCTGTTCACCTGGATTAGTTAATACTTCTATAATAATAATAATATGTAGTTTGTTTGTCACAGGGGAAGTACGTGGTGTGTTTTGACCCTCTGGACGGATCCAGTAACATCGACTGCTTGGCTTCTATCGGCACCATATTTGCCATCTACAAACGGGTGAGTCTAGATAAACCATCACAAAGGGTTTATGTTTACTGGTATAAGTATAAATGTTATTTTATTGTTTGTTTAAAAGGAGGTTAAAGGTCCTTCATGACATATGAATTATAAGATAAATCATGTATTGTTCTAGTAAAGGATAGTAAAAACTGATGATCTGATTATGATTATCATGAATATTCTGTCATCTGAATGTATTTAGTTCACTAAGAAGGATTTATTACATTTCATGCAATTTTAGAAGGATGAATACGTCAAATAATAATAAATAAAATACATTAAGGGCATCAAGAGCAACGAATATTCTCCTTAAATATACAAATATAATATATACATATACATGTGTAGATACATATATACAAATATTCTTTTAAATAAAATAAATAATAATAATGAGATATATATGACATTAGTAGACTCGATCACATATTATGAAAGTTGAGTATGTGAGTGTCAGAATAGTTTTTTATGTTACATAAAAGGATATTTACAGAAGTGCAGTAACACGCTGCAGACACAAGGGGGCACTGCTGTCCAGCTAATCTGACTTTCATCTTCTTAAACTGCACATGAAGTCAGTCACTCAGTACTTGCAGGATTTACAGTCTGTTTTGGATCAGCAAGCAGAGAAACCATGCAAGAAATATACAAATATAGACGTACTGTCTCTGTTAGTGTAGGACATACAAATGTTAGTATGATTGAATATAAATACTTTATATTAGTCTGTTTGTTTGTTTTACAGTTTTGTGTATATGTTCAATGTCTTTTTTATCGTAAACTACAACTTACAGACAAACTGAGACTTGGATATACATATATTGGAATAATGTTTGTTTTTCTTAACTGTTTCTCTGAATTTACAGTATTTTAATTTAAATTGTGATATCAGTGATATCATATTGTTGCTGTTGTTTGACCAATAGCAGATTTAGAACACGTGGCCCCATTTATCTCCCTCACTGTTGCTGTTTAAACCTTTTTTTGCTGTAAATATTTTAGTATACAGTTCTTAAAACCGACTCTTCTATATTTGTGGTACCTGGGGAACTGAAGGACTGCAGGAAACCTGTATTCACGTGTTCATGCCTTCATGTCTTCATGTCTTCATGTCTTCATGTTCCTGGTTCAGGTGTCGGAGGGGGAGCCCACAGAGAAAGACGCCCTGCAGCCGGGAAACAACATCGTGTGTGCGGGCTACACTCTGTACGGCAGCGCCACCCTGGTGGCCCTCAGCACCGGAGCCGGCCTCAACTTCTTCATGTTGGACCCCGTGAGTACTTCACTGCTAGCGGACGCCTCCTCTGGTTTCTCTGCTGTCTCCTCCTCAACATTAGTGTCTCTTGATGTCACTGTTTATATGCTTTTATGGCCCTATAGCTGCTTTTATTTGAGAAAACACACTTTTATCCTGTCAATCATTCCTCCACGCTGCACGGCTCCACACTGTTATCAGGGACTGTACACACACATAAACCCGTTTTTATTGGATACTTGTCTCGTATAAATCCTTAAAGAAGTCCAGCATGAATATAAAGACAAACAAGTTGTTTTGTGTATGTATTGGAGGCTTTTCAATATCATTTTTCTTAAACATCTTTTCATCATTTTAAAGTCCTTCAAGATCTGACTCCTGGTTGATTGTGTCTGGAGTCTGGAGGCTTTTATTCATCCATCTTTTTGTTTATTGTTGCAGAAAAACTGCACAATCACAACTAGTTGCATTCATTTTGTGATGCATGAGCTTCACGTTTTCAGAATTGTGTGCATAGTTCCACTTTCTGTGTGTATAAAATGGAGAAAAACTGTTCTCACACAGTTTGTAATACTGTAAATATATAAATATTGCAGTACTTTCATCAGTGGGCCAGAGGCTTAATCATCATCGTGTTACCTCCTTCAGCGTTAGATGGTTAGTACTAAATTAGTTTTAGTTCAAATCTTTTTGCTTTTGTTCCCTTTCACTCAGTTATATCATACAACGAGTTATCCGTGTCATATCCTGCATCTTATTCCAGATTAAGATTTATCTTTTTTCTTTTTATTATGTGGCTCAGAGGTAACAGCCGGGGCAGCTTTAGTTATTATGGGATGAAAAGATTCAAAGCATGTTTGAAAGTAATCTTGTTGTTGTTGCATCCAGAAACCTAGAAAACCAGAGTGTTGTTCTGTTTTCAAGCATGAAATCTACCAACACGAGAAGTCCTCAGGCCTAAAGTCAGTTATAATATACACTATAATACAGATCGTGTATTTTGCAGACTTCTCTCTGGCATTTCTTAATGGACGGTCTTCTCTCCATAAGTATATTTAGGTTATTATAAAATGTTTTCTTTCCACCTAAACGTATCCTTCTTGTTCTTCAGGCCATCGGCGAGTTCATCCTGACTGAGAAGAACGTGAAGATCAAGCCGAAGGGGAAGATCTACAGTCTTAACGAGGGATACGCAAAGTACTTCCACCCGTCCATCAACGAGTACCTCAAGCACAAGAAGTACCCCGAGGTCAGAGCATGTCACAAAACTTCACAAACATCACAAACTGCTTTAGTTTGAGCCAAAGTTTTGACATTAATCAGCTCTACTTTGTGGTTTTGAATCTGATACCTTTAACCAAACATGTACAATAGAGACACACACACACACACACATACACACACACACATCTGAACTTGAGGCAGGATTTCAAACACACTCGTCACATGAAGCCTGACGAAGCGTTTTCTCTGATCGAATGACTTCACGTGAGGACTTCTGGTTGGCAGCACACAAAAAGCAGGTTTTTTTCAAAGGGTATCAACAGATTTGAGTTCTTAAAATGTTTCTCAAGAGCAGAAATAATGTAAATTTATGTTACAATGCAAAAAAAAGAAATCTATTACATTCTTCTTTTGACAAATTGTCCTTTTCAGCTTAAATAAGGAATTTGCTTTTCACATACGTTCATTTTATTGTGAAAAGTGAAATAATTTGCCTTTTCGAACAAAACTCAAGTTAAAATCTGGTTGTCCGGGTCTTCATTAATACAGGCGATGACAGAACTCTCTTTTTTCTTTCCTTACTTTATTTATTTCATTGTATTTATTTGTATTCCATTATATCCATAATTGTTGAGGTAGCACTACAGGTACATTGGTTAATGCATTTGGTTTGCAGAAGGGAGGCTGCTCATGTTTATGTGACATGAAAAACTCCTGAATATAAGTTAAAACAAGTGTAACTGAACAAGCATCTCCTCCAAGTTGTATGTTTTCTGTGTTGTGTGTCGGATAAATATTAAATCTAGTTGGCAGAGGGTTCGCTGCAGCTCAAATAGACTGAGCGACAACTGATTGTTTGCATTTTAACTGTTGTTTTTACACTTTTATTCTAAATTAAAGTGTCAGGAAGTCATGATATCTAACAAAGAGCAACTTCAGATGCAGAATGTGACTTTATTTTACATATCTGGTCAATTTAAAAGACTTTCTAGATGACATTTGAGGTGAAAACCTTGTGTTTATGAGGTAAAAGTAAGAGATGCTTCATGCAGTCAGGTACCACAGACAGAGAGGCCGAACAGTGACCATCCTGACCCACAGACATATGATCCATCGTGACACTCGGGTTCAGATAGCATGAAGCCCGGTCAGCTGAGCTGCAGGATGGCGACACAGTTTACTGCAGGAAAACATCGTGTTCCTCAGGAAACTGCAGCCTCTCAACTGGAAACTCTGATCTCCAGACTCAGCACTTCTGCAGCCATAAACCTGACGAGCAAAGTTCGTCTGGTCATCAGAGCACTTTTATGAAAGGACACGTCAGCTTGAATGTCCGTCCCTGAGGCTTCTTCTTCACAAAAGTTGCCCAAAATTGAGCATTTTCTATTTGCTATACATTTTTTATCATTCAAACATCCTCAACCGACTTGTTTTAGAGGAAAAACTCACTTAGAGTCTGTATTTGAAGTCTTAAACACGGCCTGTAAGCTCTGAAAGATTAGTTTGAGAACAGCAGCTGTAAGCACCTTGAATGCACATCAGTGATTCCAACAACGTAATGGAAAATAAAGTAAATAAAAGTATCAAAACATCAACAAAAAAAAGATATTTCAATCCACGCTTTCACACACAAACTGCAGCTCAAAGTGAACAACAAAACAATTGTCACGCAGTCATGTTTCCTTAAAGACCTGCTGAATGTTAAGTGTCAGTTTTATCTTCCTCTGATAGATTGTAATGTTGTATTTTAGGCATGGAAACAGAGAATGTGTCTACTAATATCTTCTACTACACTCATCGTCATGTGACACTTTACTCAAGCATCATGACGCAGCACAATTCAGCAGTAAACCGCACTCATTACTCACTATGTGCGTCCAAATAGCAGAAACGTGTCTCACAGGTTTGAACTGGGAACGTAAAATGTTGCTGGAAAGACTCACATGGAAGTTTGAATCTAGTTTAAAGACGATGTCCTTTCTTCTTTTTTTTAAATATCTGCAGCGTTAGTATCAAATCCTCTCTGCTCTTCTGTAAAACAGGTGTTCTCCAAACAAAACTCTCACCGTCTCGTGTTGCAAATACTGAATTACTTTCTAAATTAAAGTGTGGAAAATCAGGAAAAACTGATATTCTAATAACTGATCTTTCTTACTATTAGAGAAATATTTTCATTACCTCCTAAACCATCTGCCAGAGGCACAACATCAAAGTAAAATATGTACTATGTGTTCATTTAGGAGCCAAAAAGCATTTTAACTCTGGATGGTTAATTGCCTAATAATGAAAGTTAAAGAAGGTTCCTCTGCCGTCAGCGCTGATAAACTTTCAGGACGTGTGAGGTATTTTAAAGATGATTTCATTCACAACTTTCCCACACTCTCTTGCTACTCCATCTACTCTGTTTTTTTTTTTTTGCATTCTCTTCTCCTTTATTTTATGAAGTTTCACGCTGTCTGAACTGCTGCTAGCTGGATGTGTTTTCTCAGAGTGTAGTGTGGGAGGGTCTGTTTTTTGGTGAAATACTCTGCACAAACACTTCGGCACCACTCCCTCATGATGACTGGGATGTGACTCAGCAAGCACATGACTGTGCATCACGTTGTGCCGGTCGGCACACTAAGCTCGCGTCAGGGTAACTCCTCTCAGATTCTGCTTTGAGACTAAAGTTTAGTTTAAACTACTCGTTTTCGGAGTGGAGTGTGGGGCATTGAACATTAAAGTGTGGGATGAAAAATGGTGAAATGAAGTAAAGAAGCTCTTTAAATCAAGAGAGATCCGCAAGCACAACTTGTTTTTGTCGGTGTGTGTAACGCAGCAGGATTAATGTGTTGCAGCTGCTGCAGACGGAGTTTGACCCGTCTGTTGTTTGCTGTTCAACTTGTCTTCGTCGGCAGGTCAGAATGACTCATGATCTGCTGTAGCTGCAACTTTTAAATAAGCTGCCTGACTGACCTGTTTATATATATTACCCTTTTGTTTTTACTATACTGGATTAAAATGTATACAGGACAACACAAATATGTAGTAAAACTTGATGTGTCAATCACTCTGAACCCCAGCAACTTTAAGTTTGTCGTTTAACAACTATTATTATAAATACTATATTTCAAAATATCACTCCTATAAGCAAAGCTCTTGTCACAGGGTTTATTTACAGGGTGGAATCCAGGCAGGATGAGGCAGGGCAGGCAGACTGGGGAACCAGGAGGATGAACCAAACTGCAGGAACAGGAAGACAGGGTCAATGCAAAGAAAAGACACTCGCGGAAAAAACTCTGAAATACTTTCAAACAGAGCGGCCGAGAACGAACGAACTACCACGTTAAGTTGTAACAACGATCTGGAGAAGAGTGGATGAAGAACCGGGGTAGATATACTGTTGAGTGATGAGTTGATGGAAGGCAGCTGGGTTGACTGGGCAGGGGAGGTGAATTGTAGTCAGGAAGCCGGGAGGAGTTTGGGTCGGAGCACACACACACACACACACACACACACACACACACACAGGACAAGCAGGGGGCACGGCCTGGCCATGACAGCTCTCTTACAAAGTTTTACTGTGCTTTACTCTCAGTAAATAATCAATGTGAACAATTTGATATTCAAGGAGGGATTTGGTAATCCTAAAATCATTATGGTACCACCAAACATCCTGAGCCAAATTATGAAAAGCGGTAGCAGTCAAAGTCTATTCTGAATCCAAAGTTACAGGTCAGATATGCTACTGGTTTACACGACAGGAGTTTGGTGAGAGTATCTTACCATAGCATCCTACATCGGACACACCGGAAGCCTGAAGTGAGCTCTGAGGCAGACTGTCAGACAGACTTCCTGTCCCCAGGAAGCCCGACCACAGTCAAATAAAATACAAATTTACTGTAAATTATGAGCAGTGCTTTGCCATGGCCCGCCTCTGACTCTCACAGCTGTCCAAGCTGTCCTCTGTGGAGTTTGTGAAGGTACTGAGGTTAATTTGCACAAGACCTGGCTTCATACATAAGATGACACGTCAACCATCTAATTTTTTCGAGTCAAAGAACACATTCATGTTACATCCAGCATTCTATTCTATTCTATTCTCAAGGCCAGATAATGTCTCCTTTTATGAATATTCACTATTTGCTAGTCCAGCGTTCACCATGTTTTCCATGGCACAGTTTTCACAAAACTCCACACATTATGACCCATTAGCAGTAATGAAATAACATTGTATATTACAAAAGAAATTTCACACAAGTCACAACAAAAGTTTAGGCTGTTGCAACTAACTCCGCAAATTATCCTTTTAACATTGTTAAGCTGTCTATGTTTGCAAATTCATATTCAAATGCTAATATATTGCATCCCGTGTACTGTATGGTGACTATAGCCACACCCAAATCTCACCTGCTCCTTGAGTTTGGGAATTAGTCAGTTGATGGATTTAAGACCTAAAAACAGTTTTGAACTGAATTATATGGTGGATAATAGTTATTAAGACAAATAATAATAATAAGTCTTTCTATTAATTATTGTAACAATTTACATTTTACTACTATGACTTTTTACGATGTACTATACTTTTAATGTTTTTATGACATTCTATACTGTGACATATTTATGACTTTATTCGACATGCTAAACTATGACTTTTTTAGCTTGTGATCATAGTATTTTGCTAGCTACAACGTTAGCGAGGAAGCAAGCTAAGGTTAGCCAGCTAGCTGTAATGTAGCTACGCTGCATGGATTTGGCGTTGGTTGCTTGGTAATGTTAGCTGACGTTATTTCAAACGACAAGCTAGACAATTTGTCAGCCACATGGATGAATTAGCAGACCGTATCTACTCAAGGCAGCATTTTGCTATGTTAACTAAACACCGTTGGCGTTGTAAGGGAGCTGAAGCACGGATAAGTAAGATGGCGCCGTGCGTAGTAGATAGCGCCGTGCGTAGTAAGATGGCGCCGTGTTAAGTGGCAGCCTGTTGCAGCAGCTCCCCTTTTAACAAATTTCCCCTTGCGGGATGAATAAAGTATCTATCTATCTACCTACCTACCAACCGATCTATCTATCTAAACGTCACATCCTTTTGGATTTTACAGGCAAAACCATCCCAAGTCCTTCACACAGAAATCAAATAATACATCTTAATTGTTACAAATAGAACCTAAAGTACGATATCTGAGTACTTCTTCCACTATTGGAATTATGGGACACTTAAAATGGAGTCATGGACCATCAAAAATCATTCAACAAATGTGAGATATACGCCACTGTTCGAACTAATTCTTCACTACACTAATATTTAAATGTACCACTACTCCCTACAGGATGGCAGCGCTCCCTACGGAGCTCGTTATGTGGGCTCTATGGTGTCAGACGTTCACCGCACCATCGCCTACGGAGGGATCTTCTTGTACCCCGCCAACGAGAAGAGCCCCAAGGGAAAGGTAACCACCGACCTCTGCAAAGCCACGTTACCACCGCCACAGTTGTCAGATTAAAACACAAAAGCATTTTGGATTGACTTAACTGACCACAGTATCATATCCTACTTAAAAACACTAATTAAGATAATTCAAATATGATAAAATGTTAGTTTGGGCCAGTCACAGATGGGGTATAGCCTGGCTCTAGACTTTTGACTCTCCCACTAAAACCACCACCACCACCTACGTATATAGAGTTCTGCATGAATGAGTCCTAAAACCCGCAAATGAGTCAACAATTTGCACTTATGGTTCCCTCGTGTCAAAGTCAATGTTTTTTTGAATGGGTTTATGGTTAAATGCCTGCAATAAGGTCTGCGACTAACACAGGCTTAAGAGGTTTTAATGTTTTACCCCTGGTAGACACCGCTCTTGGGAAATTTGAAGTTTTAACTTGTCAAAAAAGGCGGTTGCTGACAAGTGGCTAAATGAGAATACAAAACACCATCACGCCGACTATTATGTCTTTAGCTTAGTGGTGTTGATGTGCAGTTTGTTTATAGCCTTGCGTTTGCGTTTTACTTCTAGTGATGGCAGTTATGCTTTAAAAAGCATAAATGTGGTCTTCATTTGTGAAGATTATCTTGCCGAACAAAACATTGCAAGTATAAAGTTTGTTTGCCACAAAGTTTATTTTCTGCAATAATCCAAAGAAAAAAATCCCATTTGCTTTTTGTCGAGGAAACCAGTGCAATGCTAACTTCCAGGTTGGCCTACGAACATATGCGTACCTGTAGAACTCTATACCTCACACACAAGGAAATATTTTGAAGTAGAAAATGTGTTTATTTTTACGGGACAAATATAGTCTGTAAAAAAATCGTCTTCAAAGACTCAAAATAATAATTGTCATTCCACCTTGTGAATAAAAAGAAAACAGGTAGATTCAAACTACAAAATCTTTGGCTATACTTAAAACCAATTAAAATTAAAAAAGCCCTACACAAACCCCCAAAATTTCCTTAGCCAACGCATGAGAAAGATATGTATGAACCCAGTGTACAGTGTAAACTGGTATATTAATGCACCAGTCATTGTTCAAGTAACACAATGTGCCTCAGTCTTTTTTAGTGTTTCTACCCAACAATGAAGAGATCTGCTGTCGACTCAAAAATCATTCAAACTTGGAGTCCAGATAGACCTGATTATGAAGCTCCACAGCCCGAGGCACTGGTTCCTGTCACCTCCCAGATTTAACTGACACTCACACCCTCAAAGACAAACTGTACTTGGGACGTTTGTAACCTGAGGCTGGAGGGGGAGGGGGGGGGGGGTTTCCTCCTGTGATAAATTAAGCTCAGAGAAAGTCAAAGCTGGTCATAAAAAGATAAACAACAACCCATTTTCTTCCAGTCAGCTGTGATCCATTTTACATTCATAACAGCACGTGGTTAAAGTGTGGTGGATTCTTTGACCTCAAAGATCCTGAAAACATTACAGCACACAGGTTGTCACACAGACCGTAACTGACCTTTAACTGTAGGTGTTACATACTGGACATAAAGGCTAGGCTATCTATTTATAAAGCACATTATAAAAACAGTGGCAACCTTTAGTTTCCTTGTTTCATCAGTTTTAAATAAAATTTATTTGAATAAACAGGCACAAAAAGATCTACTTCCACCTCTGTTAAAGCACAATGAAGTTAAAGAGTAATTGCACATTATAACGTGTTTTGAAAACATTGACCTAAATGATATGACTGAAATTTTCATGCTTGCTAATCCCACCATGTTTTCATGCTAACGTCACAACTCTTTCGTCATACAGAAGGACTTTTACTTGTATTTGTACACTGTAGTATTGCTTTGGTTGAGTAAAAGATTCGAGTACTTCTTCCACCAATGCTTCTAGAGAGGTACTGTATATTCACCTGTTAGTGGCAATACGCTACATCAAAGTCCGATAACCTTTAATGACTTTGACAGAAATATAAATATTTACTTTTTACAAAGCACTTTAAAGAGGAAACTGCTATTCCTATCTAAAAATACTGTATGAAAAATAAACGTACAAAGCTTTTGACTGCAAAACAACGATCCTGTTTAATTTGTGTGTCTTTCTGTATTTTTCTTTTAAATTGTCTCCCCAAAGCTGCGGTTGTTGTACGAGTGCAACCCCATCGCCTTCCTCATCGAGCAGGCGGGAGGCATCGCCTCCACCGGCACCCAGAGGGTCCTGGACATCCAGCCCGAGGGCCTCCACCAGCGGGTGCCCTTCGTGGTCGGCTCCCCCGATGACGTCAACGAGTTCCTGACCTTTGTCAAGAAGCACCAGTAATTTACTTTAAATGTTTCGCTGAGAGGCCAGACTTTTGTTTCGATCATTGTTTTGCAATTTACTATAAAAATGTTTGAGTTGTCAAATGTCTTGATGGATCATAGAAAAATATTTGAATATAATAATATCAAATATAACAATATTTTTGTATGGTTGCAGAAAATGACAAATTGTTACTTAATGAGGTTTTAAGTGTCCTTACATTTCAGCTTGTCCTTGTATCTCGACATTTAAGTCATTAAACTAAACATTTTTCAAAACAAATGATTATTGTTTTGTTCTGCCAAATGTTTTTGAAGTTAAAAAAATGTTTCTCAGTTTGTGCAACATGCTGAAATTGACCTGTTGATAAAGTAAAGTTTTAAAACTTTCACTCGTTTCACCTACATTTTCTCAGCTGATGCAGCTTTCAGGTCACAATCTGATTTATTCCACCTTTTATGAAGCAATGCTCCGGAAGACACTTTTTTTTGCAGCAATTTTGTCATCAAGCTAGTGTACGATCTGCAGTATCTCTACTGTATCAAACTAATTAAATTATGAAATTACATTATTTTAAGTATCTCTACTGTGTCGGAGAAATGCAGTAACTTATTGGAGTAAAAACGTGGAGTCGTTTGTCAGCGGGAAACAGTGAATTACTGTGAAAAGAAACACTTGACTGTTGGGATCATGGGAGCAAGCGTTATGACTCCCAGAATGCATCACTTTCACAGCAACATACAGAATAAGTATAATACAGTTAGAATTTAACTGTAAATGTACATCAAAGTGTTGTTAAAACATGTCAAAGTGTGTTGTTTTAAAAGCTTCTAAAACCTGACCTCAGTTTCTAATGGTAGCCGCATTTTTGTCATTTTTGAGCTTTGAACACAAATTAATTAATTTCCATTCACCTCCATTATTTTAGAGCAGCGTCAGAATTCTCAAAATTTTGGATTATTAAACCCAAAATCTGTTTAGCTGGACGCCACCAGAGGGTAAGTGAGACAATATGTTTTTGAGATTCGGTGAACTGGCCCTTTAATCACTCTCGCTCCCTCTTGTCCTTTATTTTTAAGTTACACGACAGTCTTACAGCCTCTCTCACTGTTTGTTCTGCATATCAGTCTGGACTGAACTCACAGGTGAAGTAAATATGTTACAGAATCACACACACACACACACACACCTGACCGGCTTTACTGTTAAGACTGTAATACTGGGTCAGCGGTCACATCTGACCTAAAGTAACAAAAGCAGAAAGCTTAAGCTTTAACAGTTTTGGACAAAGTATTCAGATCTCTTATTTGAGCAAAAGTAGCAATACTCCAGTGTAAAAGTCCAACATACAAAATGTTACTTCAGTAAAAAAGTATTAACAGTAAAAAATGTACTTGTAAAATATACTCAATTTCCAGAATGGATCATTTCAGTAAAGAATATTCTTTGGATAATAATTGAGGCATAAATGTGTAACGCTGGAGCAAATTGTATTTACTTTAATGCAACCAATGTCAAGAAAAGCACAAGTCCTCTAATTTTGACAAAATTACCAGATTGTAATACCAGAGAGCTTTGTTTTTTTCCATGAATGAATGGCTGACAGGTTTGTTCTTACGAGTACATTGTTTTGTTTGCATCTTGCAATATGATAAAACCCCCAAAAAGAAAATTCATTCGAGAGAAAAACAATTCCTTTAGTTTCAATAGAGCGTTCACGGCCCGACGTTATCAGTGCTCGGGCCCTAATTATACGACAATCAGACAAAACAAGACATTGAAAGGAAGTCACCTCCGACATTTTATAGACGTAATGAATGATCAGTTTATATTAACCTTCATTTATTCAGTTATCATTAGTTGCAGTACTAGTTATCGCCTCATGGCTCTACGTATAACACACTTCTCCCCTGCAGTGAAGGGCCGACTGTTTCCTTATGAATCAACTGCATTGTTACAGAATCAATAATCAGAACTTTAATTTGACATTTTGTAAAAGCAGATCAAACATCTTAAGAAGCCGTCAAAAACACGTCAAGAAGCTTTAAAAAATCCAAAAACCCAAAGTTAGTGTTTCACAACTTTAATTGATCACAGAAAAAGTAGAAATCAAAAATCATTTACAATGACCGAAGCAAGTCAATTTATCACTTACCAAGTAGGATACGCATATTTACAAAGAATAAAACACGACTAAAATGTTTTCAGACAAAATAAAACGTGGCATAAAAATCAGCCAGACACATTTCCCTAAAAACAACAGTGTTTCTCCTCTTAAAACATCGTACAATCTCCTGCCGAAGTCGTCGCTCCGACTGAAGCCGCGTCCGTCGCTTTCAGCCAAAACTATTGCAATTATTTTTGACCTAAAAGTGGAGCTGTGCAAACATTAGACGAGAGGATAACTGGCTGCTGTCGCAATTCCACAGTGGTTCTTTCTGTCTTTAGCCATCAAGATGTAGCCGTCGGCTCCCCACTTTTCACCCCAGCTGCAAGAAGACAAAGAAGACAAAGAATTACAGCCCGCAGTCGAGTAGAGAGGTTTAATTAACAGCCTAAATGAGCTAGCCTTAGCTCATTTGTAGGATTACTTCTTCTGCAACAAACCATCTACAAAAGAGTTTGAGATAAAAATCTTACAAAAATTGGACAAAGTTACAACCCCTTATAAATACTTTTTTCCCCTTAAATTGCTAAATATACTGTTTCCTTGTCAGTTGAGACGCCTACTACTGGTACTACTTTTTATTCAGGTAGTACTTAGACCTGAAAAAATAAAAGTACAGCAGACTGTAACGTCTTCCACTGTGATTCTAAACACTCAGCGGTTTCCACCGACCTGTTCTTTACGATCCAGTATTTTTTCCCGTCCACATCTTCTCCCTCGAAGCCGTACCCCACTACCAGCACGCCGTGGTCCAGCTCCTCGCTGCTGCACTCCTTATCGAAGTAGATTCCTAAAATACAACAAAAAAAAAACAACCAGTCAGCTACATACAAGCACAAAATAGATCTGAAAAACAAACAAAAAAAAACACCACAGATACTCGCAAAGACAGAAAAAGTGTCTTGAACTGACCCGACTGGTAGAACTGGAAGGACTCGTGACCGGCGTCGATGGCGACAGAAACAGGTCCCACGGCGGCGACGGCCTTCATCAGAGCGTGCTCCTTACCGCTCGGGACGTCCACGAACCCCGTGTCGTTTGCAGAGTTGTACGCAGGGTCGTATTTACACGGCAGGGTGTCCTGGAGGAGGAGGAGGAGAAGGAGAAGAAGAAGAAGAAGGTGAGTGGGACAGACCTGAACCCGATATATTCTGATAAAGGATCATTAAGTTATAAAATGTGCTGTGTCTGCAGTTTGTTATGCTCCTTTCACAACTATCAAAACATACACATACATACATATCTCATGAGACTTTAACTATATTCGAGACACTCACTGTTCCAGTGTAGGGGTATGCGTCCTCAGAGTCCAGGCCCTGGTTGTCCTGGACGTACTGGAAGGCCTGGTCCATCAGGCCGCCGTTGCAGCCCTCGTTGCCCTCGGGTCGGGAGCAGTCCACCAGGTTCTGCTCGCTCAGCGACACCAGCTTGCCCGTCTTCCTGAAGAGCTGACCCTCCAGAGCTCCGGTGGTGCTGAAGGCCCAGCAGGAACCACACTGACCCTGAGAGAGAGACAGAGAGCGATATTAATATTTTTCATGTTCTTGTGTCTCTTTCTGATGTCGGCCATTTTGTTGCTATTATTAAATAGACTTAAAGAACTTCAGAGCTCTTTATACGTCACAGAGCAATAGTTTTATTTCCTCCTAATTGTTGTTCTTGTTGCACCCTGCATCTTTTTATTGCCCTTTATCTCCCAGACTATAGAAAGCACTTTGCGTCTATAAATAAAAAGATATTGGAAGTTGCACTCCAGCACTTTGCCCGAATGTAAACGAGGGTGGTTGCTCCACAGCGACCTGGTTTCCTCTTCCAGGCTGTTAATGCACGATACTGAACAGACTGTACATTGTGGGCGGAGGAGGAGTGTGTGAAGCTAGATAACAAAAACAACCTGCAAGCGGACATCTCATCTCTCTGTTACTTCAGCGGGCAGAGTTCCCTCACTGTTTTAATGTCGGCAAAATCTGCAAAGATGCAACTGTTCAAAGTTGCAGCGTTGAGCAATTGTGTTTACCGAAGATCTCCAACAGCTGTTAATGGGTCATGTATCTCCTGCAATGATGTCATAGCTGTTAGAATAAGAGCTTGTGGTGACGTTCAGCGTTTACAACAACTGACCAGGTTTGTGCTCCAACAAGACTTAACTAAAGCCGTTTCTGTTCTGTGGAAAACAAACATCGTTTCTACATTTCATAAGTCACCCGGTGAGCTTGTCTGAAAGTCCCGAGACTACGCGAGACATAAACGCACCAAAAAAAAAAAAAGAAAGAGAGGAAACCCGTTTTTTGTTTCTTACCTGGTCCTTAACGGGAGTGACGAAGCCCTTGTCCCTATAGTCCACAGAGCGTGGGGCCTCCAGGAAGTTGGGCTCCATGAACAGGGACCCCCGGACCTTCCTCTCTGCTTTGAGCTTGTAGCCGTTCATGAGCTGCCTGAACTCCTCGTTAGTCTGTGGAAAGACAACGTTCAGTCAGTAGAGGACAACGACCAATGTGGGAAAAAAAAAGAGATGAAGGACTGCGTTTTATGATTGTAAAAGTGTACTCGAGTGGTTTCAGCTGCAGACTTTAATAGATTGTTAGTTAATCTGAGCTTGACGTATAATTCAATACTGAAGTAGCTACATCTTCAGCAATTGTTGCCACTTTAACCCTGTTCCATTCTCCAACTTTAGGTGCAACACTTTGTCTTCATATAACCGTGTCCCACACCACATTCCACCTGTTTTTTGTTGTGTTTTTCCAGTTTACCTAGATTTGTGTATATTTAATATGTTTATGACGGAACGTGTGTATCTCTATCTCGATAGATAGATAGATATATAGATATATATACACACACATATATACATACACACACACACACACACACACACACACACACACACACAGCGTTTCTCACCATGTCCCCAAAGTGGTTCATGCCCAGGCGGTAGGAGTGTGAGCCCATTGAGTGCTCCAGGTTGTGCATCTCGATCTTCTTCAGGTTCTTCTCCCACACCATTCTCCTCCAGCCCTCCTCCTTCTGCAAACAAAACAAACATTTAGATTGTTTTTTTCAGACTGGAGCAGCCTGCTTTGGGGGGGGGCAATTGATCACCTCATGATATTTCCTGCTGTGCCAGCTCTTCCACAGGTCCCAGTGGTCATCCAGCTGTGGGTCCAGGCTGGGGGCCGAGAGGGCTGCTCCAAGGCACACGGTCAACACGGCTAGAAGAGGCAGCATTGTTGCTTCCTACCGGAACAAAACAAACAAGTTAAGACTCAATTTCCCAAGAAGCACCGAGGGAGGCCCGAGGCCCGACTCCCATGGAAATAGACGTCATTACAAAAGACATGATATCGTAGGAAAAGCGTTAAGTTATGCAAGTTTTCCATCGAAATCCTCCCTCCTAACATGTTTCCCCATCGTGATGCTCTTCGTGCATTCTTAGAGTCTGTAGGACAGTTTGTTCTTTCCCATGACTCATCAAGAAATCCGCATTAAAGCTGCAATGCACATTCCCGACAGACACAGCAGTCATTTCCCGAATACCGACACTGATTAGGTTAAATAACCGCTATAAAACCATATGAGGCAGATTATTATGCGATACTGGGTGTATGGGAGAATACCCGGTTGTTTCGGGGCTGTTTTTCCCAGCAAGTTAGGTTGCAGAAACGGATCCCAACAACACCACCCCGGACCTGTGTTTGTTTTGTTCGCAGTCACGAGATCTGCGGCGGCGGAGAGCCAACAAACCACCCGGCACTCACATCGAAATTACGACTAGGAAACCGAAAAGAAAAGCGAAACTTCCAACTAAATGGCGGTCAGATAGCGGTCCTTTCCACAGAATCCACCGCTGCTAGATGTTTAACTTAAGCCCAAGGGAAGAACCTATCAATGGCTGATGTAAGCTACAGAGAGGTAGACAAAGACAAAGGCAGCCGAATGAAACAACACGGTAAATACTGGTAGATAAAACCAAAAATAAATGTAGTTTTTAAACTAAAAATACATTCAAAGTAGATATTAGCTTAAATTGGCTTTTTTTTTAAAGAACACTGGTATTAAATCTGGGTTGATGACGAAACAATACCTGTGAAACGAATACTCTTCAATGTTTCTGTCTTCTGTCTATTTTTTTTCGACAAAAGAAAGCAAGCACAACAACATAAAATGTAGAACTTACTGTTATTCTCTTCACAGTCACAGTCGAAGTAGAAACTGACCTCTCACCGAGGTACACAAAGTTTTATAAAGGGCCTGACTGGCAGCTGAAAAAACGTCCCACCGAGCTCTCCGATTGGTCCGCTCCTCGTTTATCACGACTCACGGTCCCGCCCCCCGTCCCCCCCGTCCCGGCTTGTGACGTCTCGCCGCACGTGATTCCTTCCATCTGGAATGGTTTTTGAGGAGAGGACAGGGTGTCTCTCTCTTTTCCTGAAGGATTGTTGCAGTTAACAAAAACGTTGTTGTTTACTGATAAGGACCCTTTAATTGATAATCACAATGACTTGTAATTAAAAGATAGGTCAAGTAAAGACCTTTTATTTGATCAAATGAACCTTCAGATTATCTGATGTAAGGCTAAAATACTACTTGTAATAGGTGTAACCGTATGTTGGTACTGGAAATGGGCAGATAAACCCCTTTACTTCAACACTCAGTGTGTTCAAATGCATTGAAGTGAATGGGATGGTGTTGGCTTTCTGCGGTAATCAGAGAAGGCAAATACAGACAACCTGCAGCAGTATTGCGTGACGATGGTTTCCTGAAAGACTTCTCAGGTGTATTCATGTGCATGAGACAAAGATACAGGGAAAGTTTTGCTGTGACAGCAGAAATAAAAGGAAATACCAATTTAATGTAATGCACATTCAAAATAATTCAATCCAAGTGTAAATGAATCGGTTTCCACCACTGAACATTTGACTATTATTAATATTTATATGCATTGTGCTCAAAGAATGTACAGATTTACAACACATGTAAACGTGTTGCCATATCCTGGTTGCTCATGTAAACACACTGATTAACTAACTACTTGAGGGCTGCACATGTTACACAACAAACAAGCATTTCATATTTCAGAGGTAAACATCATTCAGGAAGTGGTGTTAAGGAGTTAGATAGTCGGCCTCTCTTCATCTTCAACTAGTGAACAAAATACTCAAGTTTCAACCAACAGCAGCACTTAAATGTTAAGCTGCTAAATTGTTGCTGAAAAGTACAAAGAGACGGCGACACATCACCTCAAACTTTGACCTGAGCAGCTACTTAGTTTGATCACGCCTCAGACAAAGCTGTGATTGTTTTGATTATAAGTTTATATTACAAGTTTATATTCAATAAAGAATAAATAAGATGACTCCCCGGGACACAGTCTGAGTTATAAAGGTCAAAGTTCATGTGATTGATAAGATTGTTGACAGGTTGTCGATGCAACTATACTTCTTTAGTTTTTGGACACTTCTTGTCTGAGATAGAGTCTGACATTAGTGGTTTAAAGTAACAAAGTACATTTACTCAAGTACTCTGTTAAAGTACAATTTTGAGTCTGAGTTTTGAGACGCACTATATTTAACTAACAGCTTTACAAGTTCAGATTCAGTTTAGTTCTTGTAAGAGCATTTTAATGTTGGAGTTCGTCAGTGTGGACTACACTTGAGATTTGTGTACTACTGGGTAGTACTGCATTATATATACTTCAAGAATATCATATTTTATATTGTACAGCTGTCAAATAAATGTAGTGGAGTGAAAAGTACGTTTCCCTCTGAAATGTAGTAAAGTAAGAGTATAAAATGGCAGAGAATAGAAATACTCAAGTCAAGTACAGGTATGTCAAAATTGTACACAAATACAGTAGTTGAGTAAATGTACTTAGTTACATTCCACAACTGCAGATCTTATATGCAAAAGAAAAAAACAACAAATAAAGTATATTTTTTATAGATGTACCTAACAGTATATAAAGTGGTTAGAATTTGCTCCAATTTGACCAACTTCACCTTTAAAATCAATCCAATAAAGTCAGTAATAATAATCCATTACTAAAATATACATATAATAATATAACAGTGAAAATTTTGCTTTTTTTTGCATTACAGTTACTTTGGTACTTTGAGTTTATTTTACTGACAACACGTCTGTGTTTTTACTGATTTCAAAAATACTGAAATCAACCAATTAAATTACATTTTGAAAACTAAATATCCTGAAAAAATAAATGCATAAATGAATTTAATCACACAAACCTCATACTAGCAACTAATACATTAAATGCTACACAGTGTGACATGATTCATCATTATCTGTAATTTATGTAATGCGTCACGTCTTTGCGTTGTCACACGCGGGATGCACGATGTTCCAAAAATGTTTCCTCTGCATCATACTTTACAGTAAGCATAAATAAAGTTAGCTTGCATTTGCAGAAAGCAGACTGCGTCTTCAGCAGCTGATGTGTGACTGGATCATGTTGCTCAAGCAGAGCGACACATGACAATTGGTTGACTGAGCGCTTCCTGTACGAGGATGCATGTCTGGTCAGTAGTACTAGCAAAACGTAAATGTGTAAAAGGTTTGTCAGCAAAATGTATTTTTATGTCAAATTACTCAATATAATAGAATTATTAGGTCAGTTTTACTGATGCATTCATCTTTAAAGAGCAGATTTATGTTGCTGCTGGTTGAGGTGGAGCACATTTTATGACTTAGGTTTATTTTTACAATTAAAACAAAACATTTTGTAGTCAAATTGTACTTTTTGTATATAAATCTAAACATCAAATTAACTATAGCTGTCAGATCAATTTAGAAAAGGAGTAAATATTTTCCTCTGAAATGTTTTGAAGTCAGAGTACTAATTATTATTACATGGACTCAAGTAAAATACTTTACAATTGTGCAGTACTTGAGTAAATAGTTACTTCACACCGATGGCTGTCATGTTAAGTAGGCTACGTTTTGAAATACTGTGAGTGAGTCAAAGCCGGTAAATATGAAACCAGATGCAGCATGTTAGCTTAGCTTAGCATAAAGACTGGAAACAGGGGGAAACAGTTAGCCTGGCTTTGTCCAAACATACAAAATCTGCCGACCAACACCTTGCCCAAACTCACTAATAAACATGTTATATCAGGTTTTGTTATGGAGCTAGGCTAGCTGTTTCCACCCGTTTCCAGTCTTTGTGCTAAGCTAAGTTAACTGGCTGCTGGCAGTAGCTTTAAATTTGAAAAGCTAATGTCCCAAACTGTCAGTCTAAAGTCATTTGTTAACATGTTTATATTGTCAAATGATTTTCTGTTGATTGTAATCTGTAACTTGGCTGGTGGTGAACTTTGTAACTTTTATACATTCTTTAGATTAGGACGCTGCGGTTGTCAGACGCTGGTCTGACACATATATTAACAGACTTGAACTGATAAACGCGTCTACAGGCCGCGGGTCACTGTTGTTGTTTTTTCTATTATTGATCCAGGAATGTATTTGATGACAATGCTAAATAAATCAAGAATAATCCTTGAAAGTCAATTTACAAAATAACATGGACGATAAATCCTTAAAGCAGGAAGAAAAACATGGACATTTGGACAACACCACCTAGGCAAACTTCATACTGAACTTTTCTCAAAAACCTTAGATTCAGTTTGTCAGGCTTGGATTTTGTGCAATTTCTTGTTTCAAATTTAAAATGATTTGCTGGACTTTGTTAGCCTCAGCTGCGACAACTTAAGTTAGAATTCAATTCAAAGCACTGCTAATGCTAACGTTAGCTAACATTAGCACCTCACCCAGCTACAACCTACACATTATTACATGTATCAGTAATAATAACTATTATTGTGATATATACTGTATAAAACTTCAAACTATTAGCTGGAATTTGTTAGCTTCAGCTCTAGGCCTACTTTAGTTAACATAAGCTGATTCCGTTAAAAGCACTGCTAATGCTAACATAAGCTACTGTTAGCACCTCCAAGCTACAACCTAAAATTCTTACATGTATCAGTAATAATAACTATTATTGTGATATATATATATATATATATATATATATATATATATATAGCCCAGCTATATCATTAAAATGCTGCTTAAATGTTAATGCATCAGTTAGCCGTTAGCATGTTAACATTGCTCTCCTAAATACATCAATGCAACTTTGTGTTGTGACATTTTGTATTTTAGCGTTGTCAGCTAATATCTAGAAACATAACGCTAGCATGTTAGCAACCTAACTAAGTCGTATAAAATTAGCCTGTTAATGTGTAAATATTATTATTAGTATTCACAGTACTAAGGAAGTACATCTATAGGTTTCCAGTAAAATGCCTTCCTGTATTACCCAGTAAGCTTCCTTATGTTGACAAGAATGAAACTCAACCTGTTTTCTATTTCTAAGAATAGTTTGCATCCCCTCATGACATAACATACGTTTAATCCCAGGTACAAATGTATTTATGGTGTGTACTCTACATGTACTTTTACGTTTTTGGTGAAGTCTGCTTATTGACATTTGCATGCATGCAAAGTGGCTTTATCTCCATATTTCTAATCATTTCAGGAAAACAAACAATGTTGTTGTCGACGCCGTAAGCTTTGGCAAGCGGAGACAAACCCTGAGTCATGCGAGTGTGTGGGTGGAGGTGCAGCTCCACAATGAACCCAGAGACGTGTGAATAACAGCCTGGAATCTGGTGGAGGACAAATAGAGCAGGAGACACCCGCCTGTCCCCGATTCACCAGAGGCATTTAAATTCATATGCAGTGAGGACGTCCTTTAAATTAATACGATCTTTTCTGATCTTGGTTGAGTTTGTTAAGTAACAAAAGTGTTTTACAGTCAAACAATTCTTTCTCTTTAATTTTAGATTCATGAATCTCAAGCGTAAACACACTCATTTCATAGTAAACTGTTGTTAATTTCTACCCAAAATACAATTGCAAATTAACTTTATTTAAAAAAAATTATAAAACGACAATAAGAAAAATCAAGGGATTCAAATCTTTATTTGAGGGCCAGAGTATTTTTTTCTTAAATGTGTAAGAAAAAAAAATGTTAGGAGACTGACTACAGAAAATCCTGTTTAAAGATAATTACACTAATTTGTAAAAAAATATACAAAAGAAATAGCATAAATCGCACAGGGAACAACCTCATTGGCTCTCGTTTACAGTGAAATAAAATAAATAAAACCCCAACTGAAGAATCGTTTTCTATTCAATACACTGAATAGATATTTGATTACTTGATCTAAGACCACATCTAATAAAATCTTATCAGTACAACAAGAATACAGGATGTTGTTTGTCTCTCATAAAGAGAATAAAGGTGGAGGAAGTTATGCATCTATTAATCTCCATTCTGTTTGTAATGGAAGAACACCACGTTCTTCCTGTTTCGTAATGTAAAGCAACGGCTCTCAGCATTTCTGGTCTTCTGACTTGAAAACTTTTGTCACCAGTTGCTTATATCTATCTTTTATTCCCCTTGTTTTATTTGACTTTAACATTTTTAAGTAACCGGGAAGACAAAAAGCAAATTTTAGATGAAAACAGGTAGAAATATGTTTTTGTTGTCCTTGTTTTTGTAACGTCAACAAAGATCTGTAACCTTTACTTTAATAATAATCGATAAAGTAACTATTTTCTACAACGTTACCTCAGGAATCTTTAAGATATCTGTTTATTCTTCAATTATGAGAGAGACGATGACATTAGGTAAAGAATTTATTATAAAATGTATTACACTATAAAGTGTCAGAAGTACTAATGACATGGCATTCCAAGACATGCTAAAAGAACGTAACATAAATAGCGACAAAAACAAAAAGACGTGTGCAATGTGGCGATGGGACCGGAGTCTCTGAGGGGGAAACATTGTAGATTACAGAGTTCGTCTTTCTTCATCAAACAGAAACATGTTCTCTGAGGACACTTTTAAATCCACTTGTTTTTTGGTCAGAACCATCCGGAAAAAAAAAGAAAAGACACCAAACGGAGACAAAGTTGATAATAATATAGTGATTCCCAGCTTTTACAAAAACATAATATTCACTTCCCTTTCTGAAACATCACTTCTCAGCTCGTATACTGTACAAGGCAATAATAATAATAATAATAAGAGGAATGAACGAGTGTGTTTTAGGCGCACAGCATTGGCAAACATTAACAAAAGCTTCTGTAAAAATAAAATAAAATAACTGTGTTTCTGACCAGTTTGGGACATTTAATTCCATCGTTTTTGTACACATGTTGAGCGTTTTATCACCGTATCTTTGATTTTTTTTTTTTTTTTTTTATATATTCTTAGGAGAGATGTGTAGTACATTCATTTTCATTGGAGTCATCATATTTGGGCCGACAGAGTGAACAGAAGAGGGAGGACGAAGTGGAGGAAACAGGCCTCGAGTATGTACATCAAGTGGATTGGCAAGTTCAGGCGGAGACAAAAAGAGAACAACAGTATTTGAAATAGCATTTAAAGTTTTATCTCTGCCGACAGACGAGAACAGGAAATACTGCACTCTGGCACATCATCTTTTTATCAAACTGTGACACTGCGTCCTGAAAAAAGGCCCACGAAGTGACTTTTTAGGATTGAAAGACACTTTTTCCAAACAACACGTGAAAAAGAAAAAGAACATTTTTTTTCCTGATCTCTAACATTATAAAACACCAGCTTTGCCCCTTTCTTCAGAGTACAACTCTAACTTCATGCCATCTTTTCCTTTTGCTTTTTTTTGCCGACCGAGTCGAGCTGCAGCTTCATGAAATATAAAAAGACAAAAGTGAAAGGAGATGTGAAGCCAGGCGCGGTCGACTGACCCCGACAGTGATACCGAGAGCTTGAATTTAGCTGGACAGACGCGGCGTTGATGCCGCTGTGTAACAATCCGACGCTGTGGACGGGAACTTCATTGTTGACGTCACTAATGCAGAAAAAAATGCATTTTAAAATGCAGCAGTGTCAGGTGTGAATATAATAAATTACCACTTTCTATTCAAAGTAAAGGAAGTTCAGCAGCATCAGTGCCGAGCTCCACCCTGATGATTTCTAACACCTCTTAACTTTGTGTGACAGTAAATACAGTTTGGTGCTGGAAGGATCAACATCCTTCAATAAGACACTGTACTATGGGGGGGGGAATTACTAAAATAGCTAAAGGTCCCGTTGTGTGAACTGAAAATGAGTAAATAGGTTTCTAAATGAAAACATTTATAGTTACACTGTATTTTAAAGGTCCCATAGTTATAGTTAAGGAACTGATATGTTACTGTAAACTCTTAAAACAGTTCCTGGAAAGGACAATCTCTTTATTTAGTGTTAATTATAGGAAAAATGCAGACTCGAGGTGTTTCCTCCCAAGCTGGGTTTCAATGGAAAAGTGACAATATTAAGTAAATAAGAAAAGTCAGTGTGTCATTTTTGAGAAGTAAATATCTATAAAGACTTTTTGCTAACTGGCAGTTTGATTCACGTCTGAAGCTGCATTTTCTTGAAAGTATAAAAATTGTTTACTACATGGATTCCTTGTTTACTAGCTGAACATTTTGATAATCGAGAAGTCATTTCTAAAGCAAAAATGCCAAAAAAGAAAAAAAAAAAGAATCACTGGTTCTCACTTTGAAAATGGAATATTTGCTGTTTTTAAAACAATCTCCTATGGTGGTAATCTTTAGGTTTCTATTAAATTAGTGCAGCTTTAATACCAAACTTAAAGTTCCTGGTAAAGATGCTTTTAGTCAGAGAACAGCGGGAGAGGTTCGTTCCAGATGATACTTGATTATTAAAATGTTAATTGATCTCTTTTAGGTTTTTTCAGCAGGTTTTTCAAGGAAATTCCAACAACAAACAAACAAACAACTGTCTGGTGACATTTTCTCGCTATAGTTAACACCACACGACATTACAGAGTTCTTTCCAGGAGCCTCTTAGGAAATTACGGGACTCGTAAAATAAAGTGTCGCCATAAATGAATCCCTACTGAAGAGATTTCTGTTGTTTGGGATTAATGAAGACATAATACTTAAAGAAGATCATCTCTAAGAACCCACAAACGCACCATTTAAACATGAAGGATGTTGTTTTCCCCCACAGACGTCACATCGACTCCACGCTGACTCCAATGAGATGTTTCATCTCCTGCAGCGACTCAAACACCGAACAGAAAACAGCTGAAATCTGATCTCAGCGTTCTGTTCCGCTAAAATCTAATTACAACGTAAGCCGAGCTTCGTTTTCCTTTCTTTATCAACCTTTTCCCACCGATGGCCTTTTCCATTTTAAGACTATAGACTTGATTGAAATTAATTTCCCATTAAGTGTCAACAAGGCACAGTTCTTGAAATGTTTGGAAAGAACTTTTTTACAATAAGACTATTTGTGCTCTTTAGGGAGGTAGAAGGCCACAAAGGCACTCTGAAAAATGCTGTTCATTTATCAAACACTAAGCTTTAACGGCCCAAACGTCACATCAGTAAAACAGAAGCAAGGAGGGAGATAATATTATATGTAACTGTGATGGACGGAGTGAGTAAAGATGGAAAATCCTCAGTTTTCATTTGGATATTTAAAAAAAAAGGTCCAAACATGAGGCTGCCATCTTTGTTAATCATTCCTTCACGTAGAGTCGATGTAGCTTTTCTGTCCCTTTCGCTGTAAGATGAGTGAGACTTCAGTGTGCCGCAGAAGTAGGAGGGAAATATAAACTAGCAGCACAACAAGATTGAGAACAGAATAAAAGCACAGGGTTCCTCTTTGGAGCTCAGGACAATCAGCTCTTTCACAACATTCATAGTGGAAGGAAAGGCCGGCTGTACAGGTGTGGAGAGCACAAACACAACATCTGGTTCACACGCCAACTTAACGAGAGTGATTTAAGGAGCGAGCAGCTGGACGATTGCACTTCATGTTCATTCACACGCATGTCCTGTTTCAGGGGAAACGTCACATGAGACGAAGCGAGGACAGAGAGCCGAACCCCGTGCAGTTCAGCGGGATATGACGGAGCTGATGGAGTTGTACGACGTGCCACCGTTGCAGGTGGGGGGGTAGCCGTTGGCGGCCCCGACCACCGCCTCCATGTTGACCCTGAAAACAGGCGACGCTTTGAGCAGGAAGTCGGCGGCGTCTCGGCGGCCGAGCTCCCTCAGTTTGGCCATCAGCACGCCCACGGTGCTGTCCGCTCGCCCGCTCCACGCCTGCAGCAGCGCCGCGGTCGGGCTGGGCTGCAGCGCGGCCTGCTGGGAGTCCGGGTCCGAGTCCAGCTCGGGGGCACCGTTCGGAGTCCCGTTGCTGTGTTTGGCCACCAAGTCCGTGAGGCCGAGGTTCATGGCCAGCAGGCACCAGTCTTTGCCCAGAGCGTCAGGAGGGTCCAGCATGCGGCAGAGCTTCCTGCGAGCCAACAGCGGGACGTCCGATATGTGGATGTCCGTTCCCAGAGTCCCCTGCTGGTAAACTTCAGCGCAGCCGAAGGACAGAATGCTGCTGAAGCTCTCTCGGTAGCCGCCCATGGTGTTAGTGAGCGAAGACTCCCGCTGGACCTGCGCGCGGAAGAAATCTTTGGGTTGGTAGACCATGATGGGGGTGTGGTGCTCCCGCAGCTGCTGAGGACTCAGGTAGTATTTGGCTGTGAGCAGTCCGGGCAGCGTGGAGGCCAGCAGGTTCTCCGTGATGCTACAGGCGGTGTCCAACAGGGTGTAGCACTTGGCCCGCTCAGAGTCGTGCCCGCGGACCCGGATCTCCACCCCCTGGCCGTGGTTGACCAGCAGGATCATGGCCTCCGCTCCTCCCTGGCTCACCTTGGCTCCGTTGCTCCACAGGTGGATGTCTCCATCGAAATCCTCCCCGCCCTCCTCCTCAGGCTTCTGCTGGTGGCTCCAGCGACACAGGTTCACCTGCAGTTTGTGAAACAGGCCACAGGGGAAGGGGGTCAGGTGCTCCGCGGGGACGAGGCGCACGCCGCCATAGAGCAGCGAGTCCTCCTCCTCCTCCTCAGTCCAGGAGCGGTTGAGGCCGTTGGTCTTGATGAGGGCGGGGATGTCCACCATGGAGGGGTTGGTGGCGTCGCGGGCGCAGATGTCCATGGCGTCCAGGATCTGCAGCAACTCTTCCACGTCGCTCTCGGGAGCCAGAGCCTGCACCTCCTCCAGCCTGTAGCGCCCCCTGTAGTGGTGGATGGCCTTGGGCGTCTCCACAGAGAGCAGCTTGCCGAGGACGTTGGTGCAAAGCCAGCGAGGCTCCAGCAGGACAACGTCCTGCACCGTCTCACTCTGCATGATGTTGATCTGTGGGAGGAAAAAGGGAAAGAGTAAAATATAAGTCAGAAAACGTGTAAGGAGAGTAACCAGTAGGAATCAAGCGTGGAAAAAAGAAGAAAAATATGAAAAGAAAGTTAAATGTGGTGAAACATATTGACAAAGACATGAAATAAAGTAAGAAGGATGCAAAGTAAACTGCTTTGATAGACATAGGACGTCCAGTGATACGAGTCATTCGGGTAAATAAACAGAAACAAAATGTTCCTGCAGCAGAGGAATTCTGAGTAATTGTTTACAGCTGACAAAGAAGGTCTTGTATTTATTTGTGAACAAACAGCGCCCCCTGGTGGTCGTCTGATGAACTTAAGATCAGCTGCTGTGGACCAGCTTTAATTTATTTATTATTTATTTATTATTACCAAACCAAAACGTTGTATAATAATATAATATTTTTTTAAAATTTGGTCTCATGTGTGAGCTCTAATATTTGTGAATCTTTTCTGAAGCTGTTGGGCAGACACACACCTCCCCCATGCTGTGCAGCTGCAGGGCCAGAGTGCGCAGGTGGTCCTGGCTGACCAGAGGGTTGATCTGCTCCTGGACGTCGCTCACAAACTGCTGCCACGACGTCAGCTGGTTGGGTCCGCTCAGCTTCCTCCAGGTCGGCAGCGTCGCCAGCAAACGCTCCGACAGCAGCGTCATGGGACTACACCTCTGCAGCGGTGGAGAGGGGGGGGGTTAATACCTGGATTCACTGCTGGAGATCATTTATTATGGAAAACATTCCAGATTCAGTCACTTGAATTCAGTATCTTCTCATAAAGATTCTCAGCTGTAGAAATCATGAAACAAATACTTTTCTATGTTTATTTTCTATAATCTGATACAAGAAGGAAGAAGACATTGTGGGGAAGTTTTTAGCTCCTTCAGACTTACTATGAATTCATAAAATGATTATTAAGGAAGTTGTGTCATCAGGATGGGTAAAGACGTGCTGAGAGAAAACAGGCGAGGAGATGAGTGTGTGTGTGTGTGTGTGTGTGTGTGTGTGTGTGTGTGTGTGTGTATATAAGTCTGCTCACAGAGATGATGTCGGCTCGAAGCTCCTGCAGGTGACTCCTCAGCAGCTTCATGTCTCTGGAGTTCGAGGCTCCGGCATCCGTCACAAACAATTTGTCACTGATCTGCAGGTCGACCCCAAACCTGAAAACAAAACAAAAATAAAAAACATTTAAAAAACTAAGATCTCTTAAGAGGAGCACTGAGATATACGGAGGAGCATCTGTAAAGGAGGGGAACAGTCGACTGCTACGTCTGACATTTTGATTCAATTCATGGTATTCAAGTATAATGTCGTCTTTTGTTTTCCATAGCAGCGATTGCTGAGGCTCATGGGTAATGTAGTATTTACAGCTATCTGACATAACAAAAACATGTTACCTGCCTTAAGTCAGTTTATTAAAGGACCATGTAACTCTGCATTGCCAGATCTAGTTAATAAAATAAACTGTCCCTCTTGCGTGCTCCGGTTTGAGTCCTAACCTGTTCCTGACTTCCTTGAGCAGCGCTTTCTCCTTGTCGTAGGTGAACTCTCCAGAGAAAGCTCTGGGGACGTCGGCGAGGTCGGCGTGCGTCGCCACCAGGACGACCTCGAGGGGCTGCTGGATCCGACCTCCGAAGGCTGCAGGAAGACAGAAAAACAAACACACACAGTTCAGTATTTACACGTACAAATATTCACTAACTGTATTAACACACACAAAACAATACCACGACAGCCAGCAGGTTCAGCAGCCATTAAAACTAAATTGTGTGTTGTGGAGAGCAACATTTAAAGTACACAGCTTTGACAGCTTTAGTTACTTTTTAGTTTTACTTTTTACCCTTTTTTTTCTTCCTTTGACTTTTACATAAGTAAAAGATCACTGTACTTCTTCCAACACTAAAAATAATAATAATTAATGTTTTCAACGATTCAATGTTGCCATGTGCATGATAACATTAGGCCACAATCGTTACTGACGATCTTGTCAAGTCTCTGTTGACGTTAGTGAAACTGTGGACCAAAGATTGTTTTTGTTCTCCTGTATGTTATCCGTTTAAAGGTATTTCAGTGTATTTTAGGAGGAATGGGACACATTGTAACATGTGATCCACTGATGCAGTCAGTAATCTGCGTCCTCACCGATGTTGTCCTGAGGCAGGTTGAGGGCCTTCAGCAGGTTCAGCCAGTAGGTGATGTGGCCCAGCTGGGTCTCGTACGGCTCCTCCAGGCTGAACAGGACCAGGTGGATCGCTGTGGCGTCGTTGGCTGCAAAGTAGTCGTAGGAGCAGTAGTAGACCGGGTTCCCCGAAAACTCCCACACGCTGAACTCGCCCACACCTACAGAGAGGGAAAGAAAGTATCGTACTAAGTGTCTCTGGCGAGGTTCATTCAGGTTCCAGTTTTGGTTAAACGTCTCTGGGTCTCACCGTGGATGTTTCCGTGCTGGATGTCGATGGCCTTGGTGGCCTGGTCGTCGGCCGTGGACAGAGCGTTGTGGACGGGGGAGAAGACCTCCAGGACTCCTTTGGTCAGACTGGGCTCAAACATCATGCTGCGACTCCGCACGCTCACATTCTCACAGCCGGGGTACAGGTTGGAAATGCTCACCGACACTAAACACAGGAGGGGAAGACTCATGATGGAGACAGTCGATCGCTGTGGGTCACATTTAGGAAACAATACCTCGACATAGTATTAGCCTTTTATTTATAAGACTAATATTATCTGTTCAAAGATAAAGCTGAGATCAAGTCTTCGTGATTTCTACTCTCAGATCTGCATCCACAGTTTTATTCTTCACTGCTTTTTAACTGCACACTTTCAAACACATGGTGGTGCTATTTTACAACTAATAAACCACCAATGCAGACATCACATTTGGATTTCCTTCACATGGAATAGGACCACACCTACAGTTTGTTTACTTTGGTTGAAAAATGCATTTTTCATTTTTTTTTTAGGTCCATACTGCCTCATTTGGACACAATCAGCGCTGTAAACAAATGTTACATGAATGCAATATTTCTGGCAGTGAAATGCGTTCAGAGCATGAAGAATCGCTGGCGATCCGATGTTGAAATCCATCTGAAAAAACCTGTGTATTTTGTGGTTGTTGATGTACTAACTGATCGCTCGTACACACATGCTGGAGTTGAACTGTTTAAAGGCCGCTTGGTGTGAATGCACTCCGAGACAAAACAACTACTAAAGTGTGATGAAGTTAAGGGTCTTGATGAATGATATTCTGCTGTTTTTTGTTGTTGTTGACCAGTTCTGCAGTGCAGTATCACTGCCGGTGGGATCATCCAGTGTGATTCATGTAAAAACACTGGAAAATAACATCTGTAAAGCATCAAACGACAAAACCTCAACTGAAGTCGAGGCCTCTCACTTGTTGTTTGCATGAAAAACGGACTTGATGCCACATTGGTTTTCTGTTTTTGGTTATTTGTGCTCATATGTCTGCGTCAGCACCTCTTTATCACAAGAAAGGGAGATTTATAAGAAGCTCAAGCTGTCTTCACAACCTCTTTCACAGATTACTAAAGTGAATGAACAGAAGAAGAGCAGTCCATCTCAATTAATTGACGCATGAACAACCTGAGAGGACAGAAATCGATGCAGAGTGCAGAATAATCTCTGGTGTCATGATGAGTTTTGTGGCATCATAAATGACGAATGGACATCATAACGTCCGCTTGTTCCCTTTCTGCTCTCCCTCTTCGTGCTTCACTGTGGACTCGTGTCACGTATCGCTGCAGATATAAAACAGACTCAATAGAGGACGTTCATGAATTCAGCCAGAATTTAAAGAAGAACAAAAAAAAAAAAAAAGCCCCTCTGCAGCTCTGACGGAGGCTGCAGATTCCCCCGATAGCATAGAGGACGGGATCGGTAACACTACACGGCTCACGTAACAGACCATTATCGTAGCGAGCATCACGTCTGTCTGGGAGGTAATGGCTCTGAGCGCCGCAGAATGGAGCAGTTAAAGGAAACACAATGGCGTGTGTGTGTGTGTGTGTGTGTGTGTCGTACACTGAACATATCAGGGAGTCGGCCACAAAAAAAAAAGCTTGGATTAGAAAAGAAGGACCAACTGTTTCCAGTCAGGGTTACTGGAGCAATGGGCTTAATACTGGGTTAGCTGCCCAAGTCAACAGGGTTTCATCATGACATGATTTTAAATCTATTCTTTGGACAACGATACGATATTTGCTGATGTCACAAAGTCAAATTCCTTTCACTTCAGGCCCCTGAATTGAAATAATGAGACGATATCATCCGTGTAATTAAAGGTGCAAGGTACAGCTTCTGTCGAGTCTGTCTTTTTGTTAGTAGAAGAATGAGAACCGGTGTTTTCTATGTTTTGCTTTCAGCTCATTCATCTCAGGGTCGAATCTGTGAAAGGCTGAGGGGAGGTGTGTTATCGTCATGTATTCAACCACACTTCTAATCATTCTGATGCTCTCCGTAGGCGTCACCAAAGTCAGAAATTCTACCAAACTGGAGGGCAAACAGCAGATAATTCCTGGCAATACTGTAAAAAAAACAAAAACGTTTTAAAACGTAACTGCTCATGAAGTCAACTGAATAAAGAATTGCAAACCTCATGAAAATATCAATCTTTGGATTTACTGCACAAGTTAATCTACAGTTTTCAGTAGTTGTGTCCAGGCTGGAGTTGGGCCAAAATTAACAACTTTTCTTACTTTCTTTTACATTTGCATGTATTAGGCCTTTATAACTAATGTTTAAAATCAGTGAGAAGGTCTGGTTATAAAGTGAATAATGCAGTTACAGGATTTCTTCAGATAATCCTATTTTATCTACATGATGCATTCTTTGGATTAATCACAAACATCTTTCTGGTTTTGTCCAAGTACAACATCCTTATGTTTTGTATATCAATTAGAGTTGACCAATGTTTACACACATGATCATGATTTGTTCCAGGTAAATTCTGGTAAAATTCGTCTTTGGTGAATAAAAATAAAAGAGGAAAAATCTAAATCAATAAATCTTTTGCAAACAAGCAAACCAAACCTTCTCATCTTACGTCTTTCTTACTCAATTCCAGCTCATTACCTCTGGTGTCTTATTCTTGTAGCTCTGGCCATCATTTCTACCCGTTATGTCAAAATAGAGATGAAGAAATATAACATAAGATAAGAAACCAACTTGTGTTAAACTGGAATTATTGTTCAAAATATCTGCTTCCTGTCATGATGGTGGATGACGGGCGTCTGAAAAGGGGAACACGGCAGGTGGAAGCTTAATCTTGTGAAGGATTATCTCGGCTTCAGCGGAGCCGTCTGTCACCTACCGGCGGGTTTGGAGTTGACGGGGGAGTTTGGGTGGCGGCTCGCGCTGGACATGCGTGTCCTCTTCCTCCTGAAGAGGCTGCGCAGGATGCCACATTTCAGAGACTCCAGCAGGGAGCTCTTCCCGGCTCCGGAGTGTCCGAACAGCTTCAGCTTGATCCGGGGCTGGACGGTCTGAGTGGGCCGCAGCTGCTGGATGTAGCTCAGTTTGTGGTTGTCCTGAACCACAGAGGAAGAAAAGGGACTCATTATAAACCACTGACAGCTCAGGTCACATTGAGATACACATTTATCAACGGTATGACACGGACTCCCACATGTTTCTCACGTGAAGGAGGACAGACTATCTATCTAAATGGTCTTACACACCAGACATGGCAGTCTGGCCAAAAAACATGTCAAACAAGACAAGAGATGTGCCTGCTACAAATAAGGGAATAGATTTTATTATTATCATTATTCAGGTTGGTTTTCCCCATCTTATGTTATGCATTCCATGTCTTATATTAAATTTATTTTATTGTATCATTATTTATGTTTTTTCCATCTTATTTTCCTTGTTTTAGGTTCATTCTACTTCTATTTTCCCTTATTGTAAAGCACGTTGTGCTGCATTTCTTGCAGTGTAAATCATCTTCACGATGAATTATCTTTATTTTTTGGTATTCAGATGAATCTCTGTTTTGGCTCATTATCTGGATCAAAGTAATATCTTAACTTTATATTCAACGCTGTACACTCGGATATATAAAAAACAAAACAGATTTGTTAACATGAGAGACACATTTTGAAACGACCAATAGATGAGTCATGGATCAGAAGTGGCTTCAGATGCTGTGAGTGGTTGCGTGGGGATTAAAAGGCACTCCCCACTCCCACCTGGGTCATGTGAACACATTCAATAAATAAAGTTTCTAATTCCAGTAAGTGGGAGAATAAAACTTATCAACGTTCTTTCTCTTTCAAAGTTTGAGGAACTGGTCTGTGTGTGTGTCATTTCTCCTCTCTGGGTTCTTGGGAAGTCAAAAACTGGCATCAACGTGCCAAAGAGTCTTAAATTAGCTCAGCATATGCAGAGGATGACTGTTTTCACAGTTGCTGCTGTCACGTTTTCACGCTCTGCACTGAATCTCAGCAGGTTCTCTGAAAAAAAGAATGGATTGGAGGAGAAGTTGGTAACGTTTAGCTTTTGGGCGTTGTGGTGGATGTGACTCGAGTTACAGAACACTGGAGTTATGACGCTGCACAGCTCTGGATAGGATGGTTTAGACAAGCTGAATGTCATGTAACTAGAAGGTTTGAGTTCTGTCATGTTGAAGGGCCTGTGAGCAAGACACTGAAGACCAACTAGTTAATTTTATACGCTTTAAGTCAAAAGACATCCAGAAGCATTATGTAGTTCTGAAACGCTATCGTCAACTGTTCCTCAAAACTAAAATACAGATAAAGATCCTGTATCCTTTTATAGTCTCTTCTACCTGTATGTGTGGAGTAAAGTGTTGCCACACACAACATCTAAAAATGGAGGGATGCTAAAATCCGACACCTTCCTGTTGCAGACGTGTCTCTCCACACCTCCGCACTGAAATAACCCGAGCGTGATGAGTGTTTGTGAATCACGACTTTTCTTTCTCGTTTGAAGAACATAAAACATATATTGATCGGTTTAGGTTTTACCTTTTTAAGCTTTCCCAACAAAGAAACGATGAGTTCATCTTGATCAGTGTGGGCCAAATCCTCCACTGTCTTTCCATCCTGAGAGAGGGAGAACAAAGGGAGAAAAGGGGGAGGAACACATGCATGACGAGTCTTACATTTAGTTTGTTATGATTCTACGTTCAAGTGTTTCTAATACACATCTTGTATTGACATTTCATTTAGGAAGCCTTTTTTATTCTTGTCATTTTAGAACAAGCATCAGAAACATCTGTAACACCTTCTATGATGCCCATGACTATAATGCATTATTAAAACACTGATATTTGTTATCATCTGCTTATAGCACAGTATAGTTTTTTTTGTATAAATAACATCACACCAGTTCTTTGTGATGGCCGGTTGTTTTTACACATTTAAAAAAGGTTTTCAGCCGATTTAACATTACACTTCTATAACTTGTTGGACTCGGGATGTTTTTGTTTTTTAAGGATCAAAATTGATGCAGCAGAACCAGATTCATCACCTTTATATTCCACACACTGTTCTTCCTTGTTAAAGCTTAAAAGCCCACATTACCCACAATGCCTTTCAACCGCCGACTGTTCAGTCACAGATTCATGTGTGCTATGCTAGAAGCGGTAGCCTCGAGCAACTAGCCTCACGCAGAGATGCAGATCGCTTCACTACGTGCGATACTCCCTGAATACCTAAAAACAGACTAAAAAAAAAAGTAGAATCGTTTCCTCTTTAAGCACTGAACTCACAGTTGATTGCAGAGGATTTAATCTCTCTCTCTCACACACACACACACACACACACACACACACACACACACACACACACTTTAAAGTGTCTCTCAGTAACGCAACCATCTGTCAGCGTCCGTCTCTGGCTGCTGCTCCACGGGGAGGAGCTGCATAGACAGCCTGAAACACCCACAGAGAGCTTCCTGTTCCTGCTGACCGTTACGCCAAAAGACGTTCAACTGAGTTTGTTGTGAAAAGATACTAAGTCTTTAATCTAGAAAAAACAACCAACAATACTCACTAAAGACATTTTCTATCTCTTGTAGGTTTAAAGCGTTCTCTGACCGGGTCACATCATATCAAAAGAGCACAACAACCTTTAAGCCGTTCGGTTCAGCTAAATGTCAGAACTGTAAGTTAATTCACATGTGAGCAAATTCCCGGGACTCGCTCTTACAGACGGCAGGAGCGTTACGACTACCGCTGCTTGGCAACTGGCAGATGATGTGAGCGGCTGGTGTTTTGTCGGCCACACGACTAATATTACAGCGATGGATCATCTGCAGTATCTCCTCCGAGGGGAAGAAGAGAAGAGGGACGATGACAGGTAACAGACGATGAAATACATCAGAGCAAACGATAAAGATCGAGCCCTGAGCTCACCGTCCGCTGCTCCACAACAAACCGCTGGACGATGAATTAAACATCTCAATATGTGCTCTTAGATTAAACATGCACAGCACATCGGCTGTCGTACAATATTAACAGCTAGAGAATGCAGAGAGAGAAAAAGACATCTGGCAGTGGAGCCTTCCTCGAACTGATTGTCTGAATTAGAGCAGATGAAAACTCACCAGAGCAGAGTGAAATAATAATCCCAAACTCAACAAAGTGTACAAAGTATTTAACTTTAAGACAGCAGAGAAGTTTATAACAAAGAATACTCAATATTGACCAGATGTCTATGGTTACTACACAGTGTGCAATTTCTGACGAGTACATTTAGAGGACAGAAAATGTTACCGGTGAAGAATTACTGTGAGTAAGATTTTAAACAAGCCTTCAGGTGGTTCATGGGTTTAAATCTAATAAGATTACTTTATTGATCCCAAGAGGGCAAATTCACAATAGATTAATATAATAATCTGATCTGAACTCAATGTACGGCTGCAACGGACCATTATTTTCATTAACCTGCTGAATATTTTCTGGATGAATCGTTTTTGTCTATAAAATGTAAGAAAAAAGGGAAAAATGTCCCCAAATCCATGTCAACATATTCAAACGTGGTGTTTTTCATGACTACACCTGCTCCCTCACTGCACATTAGAATGTGTGTTTTAATTGTGAGCCTACAAGAGAAATTAAACTTTTGTGTATTTGGTTGGAAATATAACGACACGTACTAACAAGTGAAGAGGAAGCATCGAACGATAAATATACGTTACGCTTTAGTTTACCGCTCCATCATTTCTTAATTGTTACCTAAACATTTCCTGTAAATAACTGTGTAATTTGGTACTAATTATAAGGGAAGAAAGAACTGTGATTAATGTATTCTAATGTATTATTAGAGCAGTCTGTTAGTTGGAGCACAGCAGCTCAGCTCAAGAATAAAATTCAACAGTTTGAGTTAAAAAGCTGCCGTCAGCTGTCCGATTGTATTAGGTGTGTGTGAGAAGTGAGCAGCAGCGTGCTCTGCAGCTCAAGCAGGAAATGATCAACTCAATAGAGACCGAGACATTTTCAGTTTGTGTAATATATGAGTTGTCATGTATGTTGTTTATGCATTGCATCAACCACGGCAGAAGATCTCTTCAGAGATCTTCTGCCGTGGTTGATGGTGGTTGATGGTTGCCGTGGTTGCCGTGGCTGAAGACACATAAAGAAAATATGTAATTAATTTAGATGCCAAGAAGCTGCACTGGATTTAAAATGGATTTTCACAATTACCCGCAGTGTCGGAGATAAATCCTCCTCACGATGCATTGAGACAGATGTTTAGCAGCTGAACGAGACAGATGTTTAGCGGCTGAACCAGACAGATGTTTAGCGGCTGAACCAGACAGATGTTTAGCGGCTGAACCAGACAGATGTTTAGCGGCTGAACGAGACAGATGTTTAGCGGCTGAACGGGACAGATGTTTAGCGGCTGAACCAGACAGATGTTTAGCGGCTGAACCAGACAGATGTTTAGCGGCTGTCACTGTAACGTGAAGCGGCGGAAAGAAGAATGACGCGCGGTGACTTACGTTGGTGACGGCGTCGATGTTGGCTCCGGCCAGGCAGAGGTGGCGGACCACCTCGAGGCTCCCGTTGTTGGCAGCCAGGTGGAGGGGAGTCCTGCCGTGCTGGGTGAAGAGACAAAGATACGACAGCCATGTCATGTATAAAAACTGCAAAGCCAGGACACAGAGATGACTCAGCAGAATGTCTTGTGAAGTTTTTATATCAAGTGGAAAATAACAACATCCTGCAGCAGGAGACACGGCTGGGAGGAGAATGTCTGGTCCACCAAACCAGAGAAACAATGTTTAGGCTCCGATGTGGGTCGTAAATGAACATTGAGAGCAATCATAAACTGTTAACGGTGTTTGAGAGCGACGCTACAGTTTATAGTGAGATCATATTCTAAACATGGTGATAGCAGACGCCATCTATTGTGCCATCCATCAGTGGAACAGCCGCCCCCTTTACATACGTCAATCCTGCAGAAAATCCTCATTCAAATACCATTCATTAATGTATTACTTAAGCAGCTAATCAATAGTCCAGAGTCATGATAATGACTTGTTCTTGTTCCTTGGTGACCGCCCTCACAGACTCACTCATAGACTCATTCTAAGATGTATTCATTTAAGAGGATGTACAAGGAATTAATGTAGAGAAAACGGCCGCTCCCTTATTACAACACAATTAGGAGGTGAACACAAATGTGATGTTGTACAAGTACTTCTCACCACACCCCAAATACTGAGACTCCTATGAAAGTTCTCTGTGCCAGAAGTCGAAAGAAAAGCGTTGGAAATCATCGATACCCACGACAGAGCACACTTGTTTGGAAAGCAGCGTTCCAATCAATTCCCTTTTGTCACAACTTGAGAAAACGAGAAGGCATTCATCCCGTTTCATTCTGCTGTAAACAGAACAAGACACATTTTCAATCCCACCCTTCTCCTTTTCCTCCCCAGTGTCTGCAGCTGACAGGGAAGACAAATCCCGGCATCGACTCAGCAACGTGTGACATGCTGCTTTAGATAATAGTGAAAATAATGAATAAATCAAAACATCTCCGTCAGCGCCGTCTGCTCCCGATGCACATCACTGTCCCTGAACTATTCCGGGGGAGAAAAAACGTCTCCGTACATGGAAACAGCCGAGAACAGCAATCCCATCGCAGAATACATTAAAATGGATGGCGTGAAAATAGAAAGTGGGAAAAAAGGCAGAAACATGTGTGGGAAGTCGTGCTTAGCAGAGAAACAAAGCATGATGGGATCTTCAGTCAGATATAAACCAGTTATGTGAAAGCGCCCTTAAAGGACCATTTCACCAAAACAGGAAAAAAAAAGCTGCTTGGTTAGCAGATATCAGAATACAGACTAAAATAAAATGCTCACAGATGTTAAAACCCTCAGCTACGACCGCAACAAGCAATCCTCAGGCTGCATGTATTTATACTGACAGAAATCCCTTTAATGCCTTTAATATGTTCGCTCTCTGTTTATTTATCCCTCTACTTGGCCTGTGATCTAGTTTAGCCTGCATGGAGCAGCCAACACTACACAGTCAGAAGTATGTTACAACATCTCATCTCCACACCACAGGCACGAACCCTGCAGCTATAGCAACCACTGGTCTTTTGGAAGGGCTTCCCACCAGATGCTGGAACCTGGCTGCAGGAGATTGAGCCGAGAGCACGTTGTGAGGTCCAACACTGATTTTGGGCGATACGTTCTGGCTTGTTCCAGTTCATCCCAGAGGTGTTGGATGGGGTTGAGGTCAGGGCAAGTCAGAGAGGAAAAGGCCTTCTACTGTCCACGAGTCACAGTGTCCTTGACATGACTCTACAACCCCAAATTACTCCCCAAAACTCAGTGAGTGGTCGTAGAGATTGCCACTGAAGTGCCTCATGTTCGGTGGTTCGTGCTCACCTTGTTTGGGACGTCGAGGCCGGCCTTGGCGCTGCAGATCGCCGTGACGACGGGGAGGTTTCCGTCCTTGCAGGCGATGTGCAGCGGCGTGTTGCCATGGCGATCCTGCTGGTCCATGTGGCAGCGGTGCCTGAGGAGACAGCGGACCACATCGACCTGACACCTCCGCACGGCCAGGTGCAGCGCCGTGTGGCCATCCTGGAGGGAGAGAGAGGGAGGGGGGGAGAGCGAGACAGAGAGACAGAGAGACACACACACACACACACACACACACACACACACACACACACACACACACACACACAATGTAAAGCCTCCAGTGTCACATGATTGAATGTCGGTGGTTCTTAACACATTTGTGTTCAGATGTGGTAAACTAATCTGTTTCTTATAGAAAATCTACAATAAAACTGTGTTATTGTCTTTGCATTTTTATTAAAGTTGTGGTGGAGTTAGACACGAACATAAATAATCCAGATAAAGAATCACCTTGTCAGTCGCCTCCACGTCGGCCCCGTGCTCCACCAGGCACTCCACGATGTCCACAAAGCCCCGAGCGGACGAGGTCAGCAGCGGGCTCTCCCCCTCGCGGTTCTTTGCGTCCACGTGGCAGCCCGCCTGGCAGAGCGCTCGGGCCACCGGCGAGTAGCCGTGCCACGCAGCGCAGTGCAGCGGGGTCTCCTGCTCCTGGAGATGGAAACGTAGAATGCAAAAGAATAAGTATCAACACTAGGTTATCCTGCTACGTGTGTGCGTGTGAAGGTGCACTTACCCTGTCAGACAGGTCTGGGTTGGCTCGGATGCTGCACAGGTAGCTCACCACATCCACGTTGCCGTAGCGGGCCGCCACGTGAAGAGCAGTCTCCCCAGACTGGAGGACACAACAGAGAGATTAACAACAAATCATCAGCAGGTCAAATGTACAGTGAGATGGCTGCAAACCACAACTTGAAATGAACCTCTACCTCTAGAGGCTCTACCTCCAACTTCTGAATGCTTAGGCCTGCAGTTTATTCCTCATACATCTGCCATTCTCATAACTTCCTCGCTGTCATTGTTTGGCGCCATCAACCGTGATATCAGCTGTTCTGATCAGCTGGTCTCTCCTTTCCAATAGCACAGAGACACAATTACATCATCTTGCTGCGGTCTCTTTTTAAATATGATTGCATCTCTGCCTTTCATGTTGCCGTCTTCACAGCCTCGCCAGTGTCTGGACTCATCTGTATCTCGCTGCTGCTCAGGGCAGACGCCTCTCGATTACAAATCTCCCCGTAGAGTCCAAGCGACTCTGTCTTCACTATCATCATCATCCTCTGTTTATAATAAACAATTATCTTTTCTTCATCTCACTCATCTCTTCTGATTGAAAAGAAGTAACAGGATGTATTGGAGTTTTCACAATAATTACTTTCATGCAGTGTGTCCCTTGATGGACACTTGGAACATTTTATGTCCAACAAATATTCATTATTCAAATTACCAAACATTTATTCACAAATTTGAATCCAGGAAAATAATTTTGCAGAGTTTCCTCTGACATTGCTATGAACGGCCGGTTGTTTCTGGTCGGGTCTTCTTCTTCTACTACAACCTCAGCCTTGGTGATGTTCGTGCAAAGCGTGTGTAGCTTTAGTTGATCGTCTCGACTTTCATCCCTGAAATCTTGTAGACTGAATCTGTAAGACTGCAGCGTAACACTGGAGCGCTCCAGTTTTTACACTCCGCTTCCATGTGGAGGAATATCGTAAAGCAGTGACATCCAGGGATGTGATGATTCTCCTGTTAGTCATGCCACTTCCGCTGTGTCAGACGCTTTTCCAAAAAAACCTCCACACAAACAAGACTCCATCAGAATCGATCCGTCAGCTTGAACCTTATGGCTGCCAGTCGGAGAGGAAGCTCGTTAGCAGAGGAGCTGCTTATGTGAAACGACACCCAGGACGCTGCGTTCCCCTAAAATAGCATCTAATGGATCTAAGCTGGGAGATAAAAAACTAACTTTAAAGGTTTATTTAATTAGGAGAACTAGAAAGAAAAGAAAAGATTCACCCTGTTAAAAAGGCCTTTCTCATAAGAGGATGACTTGGTCACACACACACACACACACACAAACACACACACACACACTTCAGTTTGTGATTTTAAAGTTATCGAGTAATAAAGCGAGATGAAACTTTAATGATGCTCGCAGACAGAAGAGGACTCCACCGGCAGTAATAATGATTGAAGAGATTGGAAAAACAAATGCTTTTGGGATTTAGTCTGCCTCTGTGATCGAGGCCACACACACACACACACACACACACACACACACACACACACACACTTCTCAGCAAGACCTGTTTCTATAGCAACTGCAAATAAGCTGATAAAATGCCAGAGTAACTGGTTTTTGCTCCCCAGGTGCTCACTGTGGTGTGTGTGTGTGTGTGTGTGTCTGGGGCATTTCACAAAATCAAAGTAATGCTTCTCGGGAGATTTGATGGGTAAGAGTGTGTGAGTAATTGCTGATGGATAACGCAGTGTGGCGAGTAGTAGTGAGTGTGTGTGTGTGTGTTGAGTCACCTTATCTTGGACATCCAGAGGGCATTTCTTTTCATGGAGGAATTTCAGGGTCTGGACGTGGCCGTGTCTCGCTGCGTAGTAGATAGCGTTAGCTCCACTCTATAAGGTTCAAGAAGAGAGGAGAAAATTCCAGGATTTATCCCTGACCTTTATGAGAAAATCAAGCTCTCCGGGAATGTGTCTGCAGCCAGATGATATGAACACAGCCTTGACAAAAAGGTTGAGCGGTTGTGAGGATGTGCTAGCATCCTGCCTTCCCAGTTAAAGTGTTCGTCACAATTTAGAGCTGCACTTGAGAGAATAATCGTTCTTTGAAGCCCTACCTCCAGTCCGTACCACAACTACAATACTCATTTTGTTATTTCATAATTACAAATCACTTAAAAATTGGGCCTTGTGTGCTCAAGACTGTGACAGTAATGTTCAAGGTAGTGTGTCTAATTCATGCAAATAGTTTTTCATACTTGTTTTGCAAAACAGTTGTAGTTTACATCTTGTGAATCTGTTCTGTTGGTACAGATGGATGCTGTTAATTGAAGGATCTATCTATATCTATTTAAAACATGTGGGTTCAGCATATGCTCGTCTCTACAGTACTTTGTGCAGCCGAGTACAATGAGTTCATGTATTTATAGTGTAAATAGCCCCGCGTCGTAATCTGTCACATTCTTCTGCTCCGACGCCTTTAATTTGCGTCTATTAAGCTCCACAGCCGGCTGTCAGAGGCGCTCTGATTGGACCAAACAGACGAGTCCTTACCTTGTCGTGGGCCTGGATCTCGGCACCTTTCCTCATCAGCACCTCGATGATCTGGATGTTGCCACAGCCGCCTGCAATCAGCAGGGGAGGAGTCCCATGCTGCAACGTGCGCACACAACGGAGTTCTTAGTTTTCAGTGACCACCTGTGAGTTTGTGTGTCTTTAAAGTGGAGCTGAACGCCTCAATCTGACTAATTACACCATAAGAATATATGAAAAAAGGTTGATTCTCTTCTATAGGTTCTCACAAACTTTAGGTGTTAAGGAAACACATTTGGACCGACAGATGAGGATTTAGACAGTATTGACGTCTATGGTGTGTTTGAGTGACTGCATGGTGATGGAAACATAAGCAGTAAAAAAAAAGGAGGAAAGAGGATGGAAGAAAATGGAGATGACCTTTTCTGAACAAGTCCCTGAACTTGAAACATCTCCTCCTTCTCCTCCTCCTCTCCGTGTTGCCATTACCTCATTCTCTCCTCTCCTCCTCTACACTTCACTGAGTTTAATGACTTCATGTTTCCCCCCCATCGCCTATCAGCTGTCAAGAAACATCAAACTAATCTCCTCCAACGAAACAGCAAACAGAAAATGAGAGTTAAGTCTGGATATGAACCTAAACATCTGTTCTCTGCACTTCATTCCCTTATTAAATGTATGCAACTGCAACGACCTCCTTTAACTCCCCTTCCATTCTGTAATGCTCCTTTCTTTCTGTTAATATATTTAAATAAAATCTATTTTTGTTATTCATGTGAGAGAGATACACGAGGACAAATGAAAAATGACTTCTTTCTGTCCGTTCAGAAGCTGATTTGTTGGCTGTTAATGTAAAGAAATCTGCTTCTGTTTGGGGCGATCATACCCGAGAGACCTGGACATCTGTCTCTTTCTCTGTTCCTCACGCAGTGATTGAACTTAATGAACGCTTCCTTACATCTTAGGAAATGTTGCTCAAACAGAACTGGCTCAGGTGAAAAACATTGATCCGGAGACTGTGAAGGTTTATGACTTTCCTTCATGCAAGTAGTATGAAATCATAAGAGTTTAAATATTTAAAGCTCTGTTTGGAGTTTCCTTTTGTTTTGTTCTGCTCGTCTTGGGGACAATAGTTGTAGCTTTAAACTAATAAAAATCAAACAAACATCTCTTCATCCCTCAACGTTCATCCTAAAATGGAGCACAGACTTGCACAATCTCGACCTTGTGGTGTGGAGCTTCCATTCAGTCCCTAAAAGAGTGCGTCACATTTGCTTCAGGGTGGAACACGAGGACAAGCTGACAAATGGTTAAAAAGACCCTGAAGACACTGAGCTGAGCTGACGTCTGTTTGTGGGAAAGTGGACTGCACTGAATACCTTTATATTCCTTCAGATCACGAGGACGTATATTCTAGTTGGGAGTTGGAATTTATCAGAAAAATGGATCAGGAGGCATTTCACAAATAATAAATGCTGATTAAAAAACAACAACATGTTTAATACTATTCATGTGCACTATGTCTGTGTTGGTCACCTTGTTGGGCTGGTTGATGTCGTAACTGTTCAAGGAGCCGAGCAGATGCTGCAGACCGGGCACGTTGTCGTCGTTGATGGCGTGGATGATGGCCTTCATCACAAAGGAGTCTTCCTCATCCTAGACGGGTGGGAAAGATAGTTACTCCTCAACTGTTCACAGGATGACGATCTAATCCTGTGAACATTAATCCGGAGAATTCTTTCTATCACATGCTCCTCCCTTAAGTCTCTCTTTCATCTTTTTCCTCATGCATGAGAACACACAGAAACAAACGGGCTTTTTTTTTTTTTTTTTTGCACCTGCACTTCAAGTTCAAAATCTATCTTTTTTTAAATGTTCTGTCTGTGACATGTGACCCGAAGACCTTCAGCCGGACGGCACAGAAATCAGCTGTGACGCTCTGCTGCACAAAGAGACGAGGACGAGAACGGCAGGGAGGCGAGGAGGAGGAGGAGGAGGAGGAGGAGGAGAGGCTGGTGTAGCGCTTGTTCTGCCAAGCGTGACACTCCAGCTACATTCCTCAACAGAACCTCCCTGCTGGGGGAGCCACGACAAAACCACCTCAGAGGAGCTGCAAACAACACACATGTGTACGAGCAGCAAACCGCCTGCTGGGGATTCGCCATCAACGAAGATTTCTTTAGCTTCTACAAATTGTAATTCACGACACAGGTTAACCAATCGACCTTTTTTCTCTCTCTTTGATGTGTAATAACGGTTCCTACTGTTTTCGAGAGATAATTTTCTAGGACAAGTTCAGTGAGGATCTAGCTGCTATGACAGACAGGGATGCACCATCCACTCTTAAGTTCCTATCGCAATAACTTATCTATGAATTGATCTCTTACACGCTTAGAAATTATGACAAATTGATCATAGAAGAATATAATAATAATAATAATAATAACTAATCAATTTCCCTTTCAGATGGCAATGTATTTTGGGGAGCTCTGATGGATAGACTAGTAGTTCATTCTCAGCTTAAAGAAATGATACTTTTCCATGAAATTACATGACAAAACAGACTCCACATTAAATGGACGCAGGGGGTTTGCATCCGGAAAATAAAGATTTGGTCTTGTGACAAAAATGTAAGCAGCAATTGTCAGAGAGGCTTAGAAGACTCGTGCTGGCAGTGGAAATGAGTAATGCTCTTCTGTCCTTCATGAAGTTATTTGTGAGGCGGTTTGTTCAGGTGACTAAACCTCCTGTGCTTGTTACCATGGCAGGCTAACTCTACAAAAATATATTCTTAACTGTGAGTCATCCATTACTCTGCAAGTTCTGTTATAGCTCAATAACGCATTCGTTGATTGACAGAAAAGTGTGATAACTGGTCATCTCAAGTCATTTATCAAGAACAAATGGTTTCAACTCGCTTCTCCATTCTGCCTTCATTTCAGCCACATCTGAAGAACAATATCAACAAATTTCTGATCTTGTTTTGCGATAAAAAAGCGGAGTCTTTAAGTAAAGCACTTGACCCCGGAGCTGCTCAGCCAATAAAGAAACAACAAAGATCTATGAGAAGGCTTCTACTGTGGACTACAGGGGGCGCTCAGCTCTACCTGCCAGCTCACCTGTGACACCAGGAAGTTGCTGCGTACTAGTCTGATGAGGAAACAGGCCCGGCCTTGGCCTGCTGGTAAATGATTGAACCTCTCACCGAGGCTGCAGTGTTTACATCTCGCGTATAGACACACATATAGGGATTCTTACTGTGTGTGTATTACTATGACAAACTCAAACAAACTGGGTTCGTGTACTAAACGAGTTTCCTCCTCACATTGGTTTTAAGGTTACACACACACACACACACACTGAAATTCCAACAATTCTACAAACACCTGACCTGTGGCACTGGTGGGAAACGAGGAACAGATCAATTACATGCAGGAGCTCAAGACTCTCAGAGGGAGAGTTAGAAATACCAGAGCTGTAACTGAGAGCTCGGGGTCCGAACAAGAAAATGCACTTCACTAAAAGCAATCAGAAACTCATTAAGCTGCTAGTCTCCTGTTAATTAGGTCTATTTGGTTTGTATTAAAGATAGGACTGCGGAGATAAAATTAATGGATCTCTTGATGTGGATTTTTTTACTCAAGTGCAATTTAAAGCCTCGGAGGTGTTAATAGCTGCAAACCCAAATCAACTTAATGACTCTGGATCCAGATCTCCGCTGCCTGTCCTGTGCTTTCATGTCTTTTTGTACCATTAGAAGCACAACACAGGTCTCATGGTCTTACCAACGTGTCGTCACTGCGTGCCACACTTATGTTGCTTCTGGACAGGAAGGAGCGGGACAGGCGGTTGCATAGGGAGATTAGTCGGACGGATTGCTGGAAGAGAGAAGAAGAATATCGGTTGATGAGCAAGTAGAACTAGAACAAGTTAATGCCAAGCCGTGTTCAGGGGACCATGAACGGAACGGGCAGGTGTCGACACGAAGCAATTTTCTGCTCCATTTGAGTTCAGTTCAGTTTCTTTACTCATTGTTTTTCATTCTTTGAGAACCCGTTGTCCTTCCTACTGTTAGGTGACCGATCTGTAACTGGCCAACGATATCCAAACACCACGAAGGCACAATATTATTATCATTCAAGCATTTATCAATCTATGCACAAGCTAAGCTGACCGTCCGTCAAATGGCTTCTGGACTAAAACCAAACTTATTTCTAGGGCTGTACTGAATAGTTGGAAGCTAAATTTTTAACATTGACCTTAAAATTTTAAATAAAAATTTGAATGTACGAATGTCTATTTATTCTGAATTTTCCATTCACCCCAAAGTCCGAAAGTCAAAATACATTGAAGAAAGATTCACAACATGCTTTTATCTAACGAAATATTCTCAGTCAATCGATATTTGTTGGCATTTAGTATTTTTTAAAACTACTTTGCAATCAGTTCTTGTTCCTTTTAAACAAATGGTTTCAAACCAGCAAATATATCGACGTGTGCAGATTTTATTACACCAGGTCTTAGACTGGACTTTGTTTGCATTTTTCTGGACTTCAAATCAAAAGAATCAGACCTTTATTACATCTGGATTTAATATTCGCTCTCTGAATTAAACCTTTAAAGTATGGTGAGATATATTTCTAAACCTGGCACTTTTTAAATCTCACTTCAACAAATTATATTGATGTTTCTGCTTCGTCATGTTTTGGCGTTGGGAGTATTTTTATGAGGACATAAATAAACTTAAAGTCAAATCGAGGTCACTGAAAAGCCAGAAGCTTCTAGAGTGCCAGACTGGAGCATGAAGACATGACTGCACCGCCCAACCACCACAGATAAACCGGCATGTCATCGCAACGCCGGGTCAGCCGTGATGAACCCAAACAGACAGGGAGGCGACCACTGGAGCAGCACTGGCGCTACATCTGAAGGTCGAGTTTTGGGGCGTGTAGAAAACACAGAACAGCACTTACTTTCCATTTTCTTCGAGCCGCAAACTTCTTGAACTTCTCCATGTTGACGGCAGACTCCTTTCTGCTCAGTGCTTGTTGAGTGTCTTTTGGCTGATTTCACAAACACAGCAAATGTATCGATAGAAGAATATTATTGGAAATGATTATTTGGTGCAGAATCAATCAGCCATTTCAAATATCAACTACGGCCACAAAACAAAAGAGTCCGACCTTGATCCAGGGGTGCAGGAGGCTGTCCTGAATCGTCATTCTCTTTCTGTAGACAGAAAAATGTAAAAAAAATGAAGGAGACAGAAACATGTTTGTTGAGTTAACAGTCAAATTCAGGGCTTTCTGGTGTGACGCAGCATTTTAATGCTCAAAGTAAATGTTCATATTCAGAGACGCAGCTGTGTGCAGATGGAAGAAAGAAAGCGTCACTCCCGTGCGGCTGTAAGGAAATGATTATGATGCAGTCGTGAGATGCTAATATCACATCTTGTTATAAAATAGTCATAATCCTTCATCGACCTTAAAAGAGTCCAGAATTATAGAAGCAATTTGCATTGTTTTTTTCTTCTAGTGACTCAAACCCAGCAGTAACAAACTGTGGTGATCTTAAGCTGCGTTCAGAACGACATCAGCGCTGTGTGAAAAACATGCAGACCCTTCATTCATCATAATGAGGCCACTGGGTCGACACAGCAGACTCTGGCAGAAAAATGCACGGTCAGTGAAACTCAACTCAACATTTGTCTCAATGTTTTGGCCTCTAATTATCCATCGACCTCGGTAATCTGTCACTTTAACTCGACAGCCACATTGAATCTTGTCACCGTGGTTTAAATGTATATAATACAGATATAGTTGATTAACGGAGCAGTCGATCGACTTTTGCTATAAACTATTTTGGTAATCAAAAATTCAGGTCATGTTTCAAGCAAAAAAATGTGAATAATTCACTTGTTCCAGGTTCGGAAATTAGAGGATTTTCAGATTTTCTCCGTTTTCATCATTGGATTTTGGACTGGTGGTCGGACAAAACAAGACGTGTGAATACATCACCTTGGACTCTTTGAGGAAATAACACCAACGAAAATGATGCTAATAGTTTGTTACTGAAGCCTCACTAGTAAAATGTCTCTGCCGGATCAAACAAACAAAAAAGATTCACACAAATTAAAATACTATCAGATGCTTCGTTCTTATTCAAATAATGCAAGATTAAATAGTTTTGATCCTAACTCCTCCTCATTCTAAATAGTGTGATATATTGATCTTTGCTGACCTAAAACATTTCATTTCCTTCTAGAAACTCTTCACACTTCTCTTAAACAAGTCAAATAAGGTACTGAGACATCTGACAATATACGGACAAACTAATTTGTCTACCACTTCCCATAAGATACGTTTATCTTAACCGATAGCATACTGAAGTTGGAGAAGAAGTTTCAAAAGATAAATTAAAAACAAACACGACATGAACAATAAAAGCAGAGCTGGTCTCTCTCAGTCTAACTGGTCTGTGGTTGAGAGTACAGACACTTCCATCTCTCACTGTCACCTCTCTAATTACAACTGCTGTAAACTAACAATTAAAAATGATTGTTTGAAAGTGTCTCTTTGTTCATCGTGCGCCAATATAACCATCAGGGGAACTGGTGTGGTCCAGTAACACACACGCACCACTTCCTCCTGTCGACGTCTGTTCAATTCCACATCCCTGAGGTCCATGAGTCACAGTAAAATAAACCACAAACCGATCGGGCCGTCTGTCCACATTACAGGTGAAGAAATGCCCCGATAATCAGCGTGAACAGGGATTGTGCTGCTGCAGCCCAGAGCCCTGCTGAACATCATCAATGTGTGTCTTCTTCAAGCGAACCTTCATCAATCTTCCTGCCAGCCGAGTGGATCCACGTCTGCTCTACGATGTAGATCGATTACAAGCCGTTCCGGTTCGATGCGCTCGGTTCGGGGGATTTGTTCTAAAAGCTCCATTAGTTTGTAAAGTCAGTCTCCTCTTTCGCCCACTGTCTTGTTTAAAGCAAACCGGGCCTCGTTCGCCCCCTCCCCCCCTCCCCCCCCTCTCCATTGTTATGAAGAATATGAATTTTGGAGGCTTTCATTGTCTTCAAGTGTTGCTGCAGCCATTCTCAGCTGTGATGAGGGAGACGTTCACATCGTCTCTAGTGACAAGACAGTGTTTGGACCATCTGCAGTGAATCCTTGATTCAATTTTCCACTAATCTGGACTATTAGCTGCATTTTGACGACTTCAACCTGGACCGTGGGAAATTATGATGCCCATTTTTAACAATTTGTGTCACCCTTTATAGACTCTTCAATCATGAACATGATTCGTTGCATCCCTAATTAACTCTTTTTGGAAAATGTCTCCATTTTGTTCCATCCAGCTCACGCTGTGCAGTTCCTACACTTCAGAGAGTATGAACGTGATCGCATCACAACCCGGTCTCAAATACATACTTGGGGTCTTTGACAAGGAGCCTCGCTATGAAGTCTTTGGCCAAAACGCTGGTGCTGCTGAAGAACTCCTCGTCGAACGTGTAGTCCACGGCCGACACGTTGGCCAGAGTCTCCTGCTTGTTGTCGCCCAGGAAGGGAGACGCACCACTCAGACTGCACAGACAAAGATAGATAACAAGGTTAGAGCGTAGTGGACACACCGACTGTTGTTCAGCCAAGAGAGACAAAGAAGACAATACAGTCAAATAAATGTTTACCAAGGTAATTTGAATGCGATGCATTTCTTTTTGACTGCATGCTTTAATCAACTCAACAACTTCAAAACCTCCAAACTGAAGCAGCGGTTCTTGTAATCAAAGAGAAAACTTTGGATTTCCATTGAAACAATAAAGTCTCTCGCTGCTGATTAGCTCCGGCCCTCGAAACCGAAACGGAGACCTTACTGCTCCTTGATGTGATTACGGAGCCGCGTAGCAGCAAATGGTGACTCATTAATCAAGCCTTGCTATCACACTGAAGTATTTGTTGTGTTATTCAAACACCAGCGCAGGAAAGCCAGCTGGGGACGGCCCCTCGGATACAATGCCAGGAGTTTGAGTGGAGAGACTTTCATGGGATAATGTGACAAAAGCATGTTTTAATGGGCAAACCAAGACACACTACAACACACACACTACAGGGCTGAGCGATCAAGCATGGAGGTGAGGTCTCAGGCAGTTAAACCAAACCCCGGCCTTCCCCTCCTTCCCCAAAACCTCTCCAACTCGTCAGCACCAGCCGCTAATTACCACGCCAGCTGGGACAGACATGGATGTGGGCTCGGGGTCAAGCTCAAGTTGAGCGGAGATGTATGAATGAAGTTATCGACTGTATAAATCGGGCAGCTGCGCACAACAAACAAGTAATTAAGGCAATTCTTCAGTGCGCCAGGCGGTAAAATCAGCAGGAAAGTGTTTCGTCAGGATTCTGTGGCAACATTTTATCCCCCAAAATGTTTCCTAAATGAGACTTAAAGACTGTGCACATACTTAAAACAGCCTCAAACCCAAATTACACAGGGATACACCGATCCGACTCTTTCAGTCCCAATAATGTAAATGTAACAACTAAATATATAGATATAAGTTTACAGAACACAGTACACAGGCACTTTAAAATGAACAGGAATTACAACTCAAGTGTAAACCCTTTGTATGCATGCGAGGAATTCAAATTCCAGTATATATATATATATATATATATATATATATATATACACACACATAAAGAATTGAACTGAATGCTCCATTGACACCGATAACCGATCCATCGGCCCGATATACGATATCGCATGGTTACAAATTAGAGCTCCAGCAGAGCAGAAAGCCGTCTGATTCACCACATTCACCTAAAGGATTTCAGGGGGCATTATCTCAGACAGATGAAGTAGTAGTAGTATAATTTGCAACTACTTTGAGTTCCCTAATGGAGCTTTTTGTGCAGCCGTCATTACCTTGTAGCAGTCGAATCAGTCATGCAAAATACTCCCATTAAGAGTTTGGAAACGCTCCCAAAAATCACCCCGAATGGTTTATTGAATTATCCCCAGCTCCCCTCCATGCTGTTTTTAACAGGAGATGAGCAGTACTGTAAGTGCACCTCACTGTTGCTCGGCTGTGATAATAAGCAGTGAACAATCTATTTTCTACCTTGCTATGCCAAGCAGAGCTGTGACAAATGTGTGGGTGGACAGCATGAACAAAGATGGTGTGTGTGTACGTGTACAGTATATGTGTGCATTTGTGTTCGCGCAACGAAGAGGTACATCATTTATAGTACATATTACTCCTTTAAAATATAATGCGGTAATGTAATGTTTGCAGCTACTTATGTAATAGAGAGAGAACACTTTACCTTTACTGGCTCTTTATTTACCTCGCTGTGTTTGTGCTTGTGTAGGCAAATGCACCCGGCGTGCAGCACTGTGCACACACTCTTTTGTGTTTTGAGCTTTGTGTAGGTGTCTATCTGAAGGATAAAAGGTGTGTGGGAACTCAGCAAACCTTGTGGCCCGGTATAAAGAGAGGAGGACACTACAGCACCGTCGAGAGCCAACAGCAGTTGATCTGTGGGTCGCCGAGGGCTCGAGCGTCTCTCTCGCTGCTGAATTACACTGTGCCGACATGTCTGCTTCAAGAACGCGCACTAGTTCAATGGAAGCCATCGGCTGTAGAGGGGGAAGTTGTTTTAAAGATCAATTGGTTAACTGAAGTAAAGTAGCCATGGAGGGGAAACCTTTTAACATGACTTCTTATGATAGAGGGGGAGTTAATCGAATCAGGGCTTCTTTTCTGAGGTCACATCCTCTTCATTTACTGCATAACAGATTAAAGAAGAATAAACAGATTGTGGACAAAGTCCAGAATTAGTTAGCGACAGTAGATTGGCCTCGAGCAGGCTGTAAAATACAAAAACTAATAATCAGGATAACGTGATGGACAGCTCAGTATTATTTTCAACTACAGGAAGCATTTTCAAAGACGTCAACATCACAAGAGGAACCTTTGTGTCATGTGACATGTTGTGAAAAGTCTTTTTGCAGCAGGAAGTGTAAGAACTTCTGAATGTGTTGAGGTATAAAATCTGGGTGAAAATTTTGTTTCAGTGTAAAATGGTGAAAATAACACGAAATAGAATAAAAACAAAACAAAACCTTATGAATCTATATCTTGAGCCAACACGTCCTTTTTGGATTGAAATATGCTCAAACCCCAGGCAGCGGTGGAAGATCTGTTACTTAAGTAAACGTAGTAATACTACAGTGTAGAAGTACACTGTTATTTGAGCACAAGTACATCTGAAGTATTAACTTAAAAATATACTCAATGTACCAAATTTACAAACCATTGTGCAGAATGGCACATTTCAGAACCTATTATATGTTATATAATATATTATGATTATTGATGCATACATGTGTCTGTTTAATGTTGCAGCTGGCAGAGTAACCAGAAGTATAAAGTTGCATGAAATAGAAATACTCCACTGAAGTACAAGTATCTCAAAATTGTACTAAAGTGCAGTACTTGAAAATATGTACTTATTTAATGTCCACCACAGACTGCAGGTGGAATAAAACACAACTAACGCAGCTTTCCTTTAAGTGAATAAGTAAACTACAAAAGAAAACCGTTGATGAATTCAACATGAAAAGAAAAGTCAAACTTGCACATCACAGTTGAATGTAACTACGGTCAGAGATTGGATATCTAATAAGAAGCCTGATCAGCAAAACAATGTCTCTTTAAATAAAAAGGAAAACACCTGCTGGAACAATATCGCACTCGAGTGCACTCAGAATGCAGTTTTAATATGCTGGCCGGTCCTCGCTGCAGGCTGTTACATTATTGATCACAAACTGTGGCTGCTGAGTGAGCGACCCAGCCGGTTCGACAGCAGAGAGGTCAAAGAGCCAGCGACCTCTTGCACATCCTGTCTGACTGTCTGATGTGAGACGAGGCCCCGGGGTTTGTAAGAAGACGTGACGGTGTCTGTTGTGAAAACCCTGCTGAGACGCACAGATTCATACACGTGTCACATTGCACACACTCATCCATCATCACCGGTGAGGACTCGGATACTTACAGGATGTAGGTTATCACGCCGACGCTCCTGAGGAGAGAGAAAGAGACGTTAGCTGTGCATTATGACATCATACAAAACACGACACATTTACTGAACAGCAGATGTTCTTAGTCTTTGTTTACTCACCACATGTCTGCCTCCAGGCCCAGAGGTTCATAGTTGACTACTTCTGGAGCTGTGAGGCAAAAACACACAAAACAGAAGATTATTACTATTCAGGTCAGCACAAAAACAACCCGCATACACCACGCACTAGCTTTATCTCCTCCCTTACTAATTAATTTACTTACTTTTCTTCTTGCAATGACTTCTTAATGCGTTTTGTTTGAGCTCGTTATCACATTCAGATTTCTTTTGTTTCTTTCGGAGTTGTTTTATGAGCCTGTGTGTATTTTATACTTTGTTAATCACACCTGCTAGAACTGTGATTGTTTCTATTCTTTTTTTCTCTCGTCACGTCCTCAGATGTGTGAATACCGTAATTAAAGACGATTCAGTGAATTCATTTCTAATTCAATTTAAAAACAGTTTTGATATGAAACGGGACTTTTACAGGAGAGAGGATGCAGCCCCGTTATGAGTTAATATTAATAGAGTCTGTCACTTCAATTATAATAATCATGCATCAGTGTTGAACTACAGTTCCCATCATTTTGGGGCTGTAAACAGGCATCATGTTTTCAATGTTGTTTTTTTTGCCTAGGTTTGTTTACATTTGGGCAAATTGGCACTATTGAAATTATGCCGAATTATCCATTAGCAGTTCCTGTGTTTGATGTACCCGTGGATGTACAGACAACCATCACTGGATTACTTTGATCCTGAAGAAAACTTAAAATGTGATAATTTTTAGGCAAGTTTATGGACATTTATTTGCAATGGACACGGGCAATAATGATCTCATCATGCCATGAATTATTATTTCGTCTTCCTGCCACTTGATCTTGATTTAGACCATTTGACCGCTGCCATCCTGCTGAACTGGGACCAGGCTCTGGTTTTGGCCTGGGTGATGATGCTGGTGGCGCTGGCATCGGGCTGGAGGAGAACGGGAGTTTTGGCGGCCGCCCCTAGCCAAAAAGTGGGTCGGTGACAGGAGATGGGACCGAGCCACTAACGCGTCTATTAGTGTGTATGTTTGTGTTGGCAAGAAGGAGGCGTACTGATAATCTCCAGTCTATCATCAGGTCTCACTCACTTAAGTCCCTAATGCACTTTTGGCTTCTGCTCTCACTATACACAGCCCCCGGGATCAAAGCCAGGAAAGAGTGTGTGTTTTTGTGTTTGTACAGTGCAAACTCGTCGTAGCAGAATCTGTTCCAAACCATAAAATAAGACAGGATCGTAATTCTTCAGACACACAGAAAGAGGTACTGACCTACAAATTCTGGAGTTCCAAAAATGTTTTTAAAGTCGTTGCCAAAGTCTATCTTGTGGGCCAGGCCGAAGTCAATGAGCTTGATGCGCGGGTGAGGCACCGAGCGGTTCAGCAGCATGATGTTCTCCGGCTGGAAAGGAAGGAAAAGAGAGACGGTTCAAAAGGAGGAGAGACAGGGAGGACAGTCAGAAGTAGAGACAGGAGACGTGACATTTGTATAAAAGACAAATCTCTTTACGGACGCTTTTTGTTTGAACAGCTTTTAGCATGAAGCCAACTGTGCATCGTGACCAGTTACAATGCTCACAGAGGAATTAAAAAGGACAAATGTTGAAATGTGTTGCCCATAAATGATCAAGCTAGGACACAAACTAAGTGTAATCAAGAGAGCGAGCAGCAGAGGTGGACATAAAACCAGGAATAGGCTGGCAGGAAGGAGGCGCGTCGGCCATGGAAATCTCATGCAAAACACGAGTACAAAGCTCTCGAGGAAGTGAGGGAAAGAGGAAGGACGGCAAAGATGTGCTTTAACCAAAGCCGGACATTCCTCAGGACACAATGCGTCTTTTTAGACGAAGCCATCTTCCCTCCAAACCTCGTCCTTTCAGCTCGACTGTGAGGATTTAGTTTGGGAATAAGAACAGATTGAATGTGGGCCGCAGTGGAAACAGGAGGCGCCGAGGAAATACAGACTGCAGATCAGCTCGCTGGTTTCAGTCTCTGTAAACATCGATACGCTTCTGATGAAGCTGGAACCAAGGAGAATGATATCAAACGGTTTAAGGTCTAAATAGTGGAGCAATGGAACTAAGTACATTTACTCAAGTACTGTACTCAAGTACAAATTTGAGGTACTTGTAGTTTACTTGAGTTTTTTAGTTTTACTCCACCACAATTGAGGGAAATGTCCTTTTTAATCACATCATGACCATCGTAAAATATGATCAAATCAAACAGCTCAACCGTTTATACAAGTACAGCTGAAACGATTACTTTATTCATCAGTTAGTCGATTGATAGAAAATGAAGAGGCATCTTTTACATTAATGCAGGAGTAATAATAATCCGATTATATATTATATTATAGAATAACAGTCACAGGTTTTTTTTCTCTGCATTGAGTATTTTTAATATTGAAAGTACATTTTCCAGATTATACTTAGATACTTCTACTTAAGTAATATTTTCAATGCAGGACTACTTGTAACAGAGTATTTAGTAATTGTCATTTTACTCAAGTACTGAATACTTCCTCCACAACTGCTGAAATCCTGAACAAAGTAGGAACTTAAGGGAGGCACTCTTACTGCCAGCTCAATAACCAAAAACACATTTCCTTACAGATCTCTCCACGCACGATGACACGACGGTTTGTGTAGAGCACGATTAAACAATGATACAGTTGAAGAATCAAAGTTTGGGGATTTTCCCGAGCCGGGTCTTTTTAAGTGTTTCCATTAGCAGAACAGAACTCTAAACCATTTTGGTCCTTCAGTTCCAATGCAAATTGCAGATAAGATGAGTCAGACATCGTTACTCTGCCCTGCCCAACATATCAAGCTCTTCAGTAAAATAACTTCATCGATTGTCGATATCGCCGCCTCTGTAGAACTTATCTAAATGTGTACGCTTATGGCTGCATAATACCCACATAGAAAGGCCACACAGATAGCTTTCTATAGACTATAACTATACTATAACTGACTACACATAAGAAGAAAAAAAAGGACAAGAAGTTGGGTTAGCATAGCATTTAAAGACGACGTTTGAAGCGGAATACTTCAGATATTCCGCCCCTGCTCGGCAGTGAATAACAGAGGCTGATGTGTGAAGCGGAGGCTGTAGTGGTTGGAAGAAAGCTCTGGCATTGATCACAAGTGGCCGGCTGAGCACAGAGGTCGTTATTCTCCGTAAACCTGGAGGCCGAAAGTCCTGAACTCTGTTGGATGATTTGTGATGATTGTTCCGTGAGTGGAGGAGTCCGTCCGTCTGTCTGTCTGCTTATTCTGAAGGCGCCATATGTTTAGCCATAAGTGGACAACCGATCAATGATGTTGATTGAGATCTAAGTAAAGAAACTACCACAACAATATAGTGATGTCACCATACTGGAACTTCTAACTTAAAGATACAATACCTGGAAAATTAGTGATATTTAACACCATTTCGGATTACACACAAAATAAACACAATATTGAGGTAATCAAATTTTAGATTTGTTCTAAGAAATAAATAGCTGAGTCTCAACTATTCAGTATTGATATGCATCGATACTTCCATATTTTTGATAGTACTACAACTATACACCAAATACAGAAGTAATGTGTTGTGTCCAGGGATTTGTTATGTCGGGGTGTTGGTAGTGGGGTCCGGTGGGATCCCCCCTCGTGAATGTATTTTAAAGTCTATTTTGATGCTTTTTAACTCTAAATTACATGTCTTAATCTTAGAAAAATACAAAAAGATTGATTTGTCTTTTCCCCACCTGGACCTGTGGGCTCTGTCTTTTCTCCTGAACTCTTCCCGCTGTGAGTCACTCAGTGCTGAACGTCAAACAACCCAGCGCGCGCACACACACACACTCACACACACACACACACACACACACACACACACGCTCTGTGCTATGACCTTTATTCTTTTTCCCCTCAGGAGTTTTAAACTACGCTCACTCTCTAATAAAACACAGAGAATCCTAAAACAAACAGATTAGTCTTGGTATTTTGCCTCAGATGCATTGGCTCCAAAAACACAGATACAAAGAGAAACTGATATAAAAGGAGAGGTCACAAAAGAGGCCAGCTGATGCAACAAAAAGAAAAAAAGAATCACATATTTTATATAATGCTGCAAATCCACTTCTCCAGTTGAGATGAGAACTCCTCCCGGGCAGGGGGCCGAACACAACGCTTTACTGTGACCTCTGATAACAGGAAAACAAAGAAAATATCCAACTGTGTTGTCTAAATGTAACACGACCTTTAACAAGCCGCTGTCCACAGTGTTTTCATGGAAATCTCACAATCACCAGAGGAGCGCATCTCTTCTTCTCTGAAATTGCCCAATTGTGTTTTGGTTCTCATTTGGAGGACTAATCACTTGAAAAGTCTGATTTGCATTTGTTGAATTGTCTGAAACAAAAGATCTATGAAGGACACACACATGAGTATATTGTCTATTAAAGGGTCTCACCTCAGGACTAAACACTCGTATTCATAACGTATTATATATATATATATATATATAAATAAATAAATAAATAATAATAATAATGTTGTGTTTAGTTTCTGTCGTACCTTAAGGTCAAAGTGGGCGATTTGTTTTGCGTGCAGGTAGAAGACTCCGTCCAGGATCTGCTTGAGGAACTGAGTGGCTTCCTCCTCGCTCAGCGACTCCTTCTCTGCCAGGAAGTCGAAGAGCTCGCCGCCGGCCACGCTGGACGAGGAGAGAGAGAAAGAGAGAGAGAGAGAGAGAGAGGGAATTAAAATGTGAGATCTCACCTACAAATCCCTGCTTATCAGAGCTGAGCTGATGTAATCTAATCATCCTGGTGCATTAGATCCCGACCAATTTACACATACCAATTACATTTTAACCACCGCTGTTCTCAATAAACTTCTTTCATTAAATCCCCCCCATTAAAAACAGCAAAGGGGAGACTAAGGGAAAAGGAATACACCCCGTTGTTTGAGTCAAGTTTGTTTTCTCGGAATATGTAAGCGTTTGCACCGTTACATTATTTTAATAAAAAGAAAATGAAAGTCCTGATAATCTGGGGACATATGGTAAAAATAATTGAGTATGGAAAATATTTTGGTTTTATCAGATAAAATCAACACAAGATTATGGCACAAAAACAGTAAAATATTGGAACTAAATACTGTTTTGATCCACAACATTTAATGAACAACACTGAGCCAGATCTGGCTTGTTTTTGGGCAAAAGAGATTCAACATTATATGATAGAAAAGTCTTTGGTGTCTCGGCTATCTTATCCCATCAGAATTAAATTGTATCATTTCTTATTAAATCTCCTTTATAAGCATAAAAACCAATAACAGTAGCACTTGCCAATTCCTACCAACACGTTGCCCTACATTTCATCTATCAAGATGTAGCTCATTTAATGAAAAGCATAGCGGGATTCAGCGCTTAGCACTTTAAAGGTAGTAGAGTAGAGACAAGGGAATGGAGAGAGCAGAAGGTTTATCACGGTCACAGCGTGATAACGTGAGCGAAAGCCTGCAGCGAGAGGAAGGGTGATGGAGAGAGCTGAGGAGAGAGGAAGGGAGAAGGAGGGAGCTGAGGAGAGAGGAAGGGTGACGGAGGGAGATGGAGGGAGCTGAGGAGAGAGGAAGAGAGAAAGAGGGAGCTGAGGAGAGAGGAAAAGAGAAGTAGGGAGAAAGAGGGAGCTGAGGAGAGAGGAAGGGAGAAAGAGGGAGCTGAGAAGAGAGGAAGGGAGAAAGAGGGAGCTGAGGAGAGAGGAAAAGAGAAGTAGGGAGCTGAGGAAGGGAGAAAGAGGGAGCTGAGGAGAGAGGAAGGGAGAAAGAGGGAGCTGAGGAGAGAGGAAGGGAGAAGGAGGGAGCTGAGGAGAGAGGAAGGGAGAAGGAGGGAGCTGAGGAGAGAGGAAGGGAGCAGATAACTGTAATTACAGCCACGCTTACTCAGCCGTTGAGCGTCCACTCAGCCGTACCAACATGTGTTCGTCTTACATTATATGAGGAATGTAAATTAAATGGAAAATTACTATTCAGTAGCCCATTTCACATCTTACAATTTACATCTATTTAAACACTACCATCATTTTACTGTCTTGTAACATCTGTAATGTAATTTCTTTTGACACATGCTGTGAAAAAACTAACAGTGATTAAAGCCTCCTCAAACGTATCAGCAGGAATATAAACCTGCAGATAGACACACAAACACTACTCCACCCTTTAAAGGAGGAAACACCAGAGCAGCTGCACAGCTGGGATCTCCTCCTCCTCCTCCTCCTCCTCCCATTCTATATGTTAGATGTTTATTTCATCATCTGCTTCAGTGGTTGACAGGGCGTTAACACACATTCACAGACGGGACAGAAGGTTTCTGCCTCAACATGCCACCTCTGCCTCTTCATATTCGGGTCGCTCAACGCTTACCGTCAAAGGACAGTCGCTGACACGGTTGTATTTACCCAGGGTGCAGCGGGAGGAGGAGAGGATGTGGAGGACAAAGGGAAACAACACAAAGCTAAATATTTTTAGCATCCAACATGCAACTTGTTGTTCTACCTGCTGGCATTATTATAGCACCCGACCAGCTTTGAATGCTAACTGGGAGTAGAATCAGGAACAGTGTTCTGGTATTGTAATTCATACCATGAAGTGCAACCACTTTGAAATAATTCACTTTTTCAAACTCAATTTTTGCAGGTTGGACCGTGCGGATTGGCTCTCACAACGGCCCACACAAACACATAGCAATGACATAACAATGAGAAACAAGTCGTCATGTCAGTTCCTCAGGGAGCAAATCCTATCCAACGGTGGTCAGCGGCTCAGACCGAGATCTTTGTGGGACATGAATGCATTTGGGAATCCATGAGCTACATCACCACGACAGACTGGTCAGGAAGATAAACTGCCAGGTCTCCACAGACAGAAGAACAGCAGCAATGCTTTGATCACGTACCTCACAGAACCATGTCTTTATTTAAATTCAACTTGGCACAATTAAAGAATGCAGCGTGGAAGTGAGCGATATCATGAGTGAGAGCAAAGCCTGAACGTGTGAGGTACAGTGTGTGTTGTGGAGGTGTTGGATGAAGCCAGCTGGAACAGAGGGAGAGTTTACGGACCCGTCGTTTACCGGCTTTAAGGTCCAGAAAGATCAGGTGATTCACATCACTGATGAGCCTCACACGTAAGATGTTAAGGTCCAGCAACCAAGTAAGAACATTCCCCAGCTGCTGCGAGCTTCATCGACCAACCAGCCACACGCTGCGGCTATGATCTTTACAACCTCTTGTGATTTATGAGGACTTCAATTCAGCGCAAATGTGACATAAAAACATTGACACAAGGTCATAAATAATCAAATAAAGTACAGAATAGAAGAGAACGCATTCCACTGCTCAGTGAAATGGTTCTTCTTCCAGTTAACCTTTCTTCTGGGGGGAGTGGCTCAGCATACCTGCTCTTTACAGCAGTGCAATTATTGCTGAGGTCTCTCTTTTTTTTTTTTTTAAAGCAGGTTTTTATGACCGACAGCGAAAGGGACCTCCGCAGTAAATGGACTTTTCTCTGCCACATTTTGAAGTCCACTCCTCCATCGTCTGGGTCTATTCTGCCCGCACAAAGACAAACTGATTTGATTAACTGAAAAGAAAAGATCATCGATGGATCCTCCCTAATGGGTTGAATGATACAGTTTCAGCGGCGGCATCACCCGACACTGAAACCTCTCTGCTGTAGAGCAACTGTGTTAAACTGGTTTCATTCACGTACACATTACAGCAGCTTTAAGATTCACTCATTGGGACAACGTTGATAGCATCGAGGTGCATGTTCACAGAGGTCTTACACATCACGTGAGCTCGGTTGTCAGCTGGACAGTGGACCAAACTATGTCTATTATTTTGACTGGGCATTGCAAATATGAACTCAAGCATCATTGTGCAACAGAAAAGCATATTTCTATCCACAAATGTATTCAGGTGCCTGATTGAAGGGGATATTACATGGAAATGAGATCATGTTTTTACCGTTTGAGGCTGAGATTTAGCCTCACCACAGTTGTGTACTCGTCTAATCAGGAGCCGGGTTCACGTTGATGTACAAGAACACTTGTTTTGTGTTTTTGGGGGATGAGGAAACAACAGAATAAATCTGTAAATGTACTTTGCATCAGTGATCAGCTCTACCACTTCACTGTATTGAGCTGGAACAGAGCCGTGGACTTATTGAATCACACACACGCGTGTGGTACACCGAGCGCGGACTGGTTTTGTGCTCGTTATGTCTTCCTTCTAATTCGATGGTGTGTGATCACCGGTCAGGAATGCTGTCCGGCGACAAACAGCCGTCAACATGACACTCGTCAGCGACTTGCTGAAAGGAGAGCTCCTCTTTGAGTTGTACTCTATTCTGCTTTCATGCATCTTTGTTCTGAATAAGCGTGACCGCTGGAGTATAATCACGTAAACATGAACGATCTGACCTAAACTAGTAAAACTGGTTTAACTGGTGCTTAGTGAGAGCTTTGTGCCACACGACGCCGCTAAGAGGCTACAGCTACAGTTTATAACCGACCTGGAATACTGCTTACTATGGCGACTTGTGACCACGATTAGGCAATTATTTTTGATTTGAAAAAACTAAATTTGATTTTACACATGAAGTTTAGTTCACACGTCATGAGCAGTACAACTGAAAACTGAGGGGCGCTTTCCAAAAAATAACCCTGTTGATGTCGGCACGGTTATCTCTGCTTAGACTTAAAATGTTGTTGAACTGAATCATGGGAAATGTAGGATCCAGTGTTTCTGGAGCTTGACCCATAATAGGGATTATCTGACGCTTCAACGCTTTATTAAATCTGGCTCTTGTGAGTCCCTCGACTTTAAAAGACTATAGGAAGATAGAGGTAGAAGATTTAATTCATCCTAAATAACTTTTGTAAAAAGTCTGTCTTGTATTAAGCAGAGTAAATAACGAAACCTGTTTTTCAATACCTTGCATGCAAGTCGTTTTCAGAACCTTTTTTACGACCATTTTGTAATCTCAAAGCGCCAGCTTGTGCTAAATACATTCGACTCAATGAAGAAGAAGAAGACCAGGCCACTCACAGCTCCAGGATCAGGATGACCTCTGCCTTGTTTTCAAAGACCTCGTGGAGCGTGATGATGTTGGGGTGCTGGATCTCCTTCAGGATGTTCACCTCTCGCTCGATGTCGTCCCTCGTCACCCCTCGTCGACTCGACTTGCTGCGGCGCTTCTTGATGGATTTGGCGGCGAACTCCACACCCGTGTTCCTGTGCCGACATCTCCGGACCACAGCAAACTGGCCGCTAAAGGGAGGAGGAGAAGCAAAAGATGTCGTCTAGCCTTGAAACGTCGATACGGAATAAAGAAAATCTGCCTGTAAAGATTGCTCATCAACATGTTACATCTCATTTGTTTGATCCATGTAAAAGAGGTTCTGGTTATATCATATTTTGTTACCTTTTGACAGAGCCTGGCTAGCCGTTTCCCTCGGTTTCCAGTCTTTATGCTAAGCTAAGCTAACTGGCTACAGATAGATACTTACCTTGTAGATTTTGAGAGGGAGAGTGGTATCGATATTCTCATCTAACTCTCGGCAAGAAAAGCTAATTCCTTAAAAATGTCTAACCAATCCTTTAAAACCTACAACTCTATCATAAACAAATAAGACCATCGATAAGACGGTGAGGAAATCGTGACTAACATTCATCTCATTTTTTATAAACTACACCAAAGAAACCAGGATTTGGTGACAAATAATAAAAGAGGACAACTGACACTACAAACTGACAAACTGAACAATAGACAGATGTGTGACGGAAATAGATTGGAGTGAACTGATCATTGTTGTGCTCGAGTGCTACATTCCCTCAGGGTTCACCATTGTTCACTGATGAAGCAGCCGCCCTGCTGTTGGCCGCTTCAACGCGGTAAACACGGACGTCCGAGCCAAAAGGAGTGGGCGGGATAATAAGGGAATACAACTGTTGTTCAGAAACAGCTTTAATTAATAACTGCTTGGTCATGCACCGACGCCGCTTGATACAGAAATAGCAACAGAAGCTGAGTAAAGGCACGAGTATGTATTCAGCGACATCAGGGCGGCATCAGGGCAACCTGTCGAAGTGTTTACCGCAACATCAAAACTCAATTCCTCTGCAACATGTATCTAAAATGATAATCCACGTGGGTCATAATTTACAGGAGACCTAATTACTATCTGCAGTGGAAAAAGGAGAGTGTTCGTGCGTCTCTACGCTGCGACAAAACAACACCTGCCCTCAGCGATGCCTCATATTCAGTGTGTGAGTTCTATCCAGCAGCCTGAAGAGAATCACAGCTCAGCACAACACACAGCTGACAAACATCCACGAGGTGATCCTACACACAACTATTAGAAAATGCATCATTCACTATAAAATCAGTTCCATAAATCACGTCAGTCTTAGAATATTAGTATTACGTAAGGTAAGATCTACATCTGGGTAGAAACAGTTGAAAAGCCTAAAAGTTGACAGGATTGAGCGTTTTTCTGGTTGCTGTGTTTTATTTGATGTATCGGCTGCAGAAGTACCTGAATCTGCATCTCCATCAATCTTATTTGGATCCCAATTAGAACCATCAGCTCTCTCACCTGCCCAGGTGTTGCTTCCCAGCAGGACTATACTGTATATGTTACAGTATCAACAGGCTGCAGCAGAAGATGTCCTAGTTAAGTGGATATGTGTACAGCCTTTATAGACTTTTACTTTCTTTGCACTCATGTGGTGAGTCTGAGCGACATTTTAGCTAAATTCTCTATGTATACACAACACAGGAGCTGTGTCGGAAAGTCCGTCATCATGCTACGATGCAGCGTTGTTATTGAACGCTGCCATCCAACAGGATAACGCTGACTCCACTGTCACGGCCAGAAAAACCACTCGGGGAAGCGAGGACACTTGGCTGAGGGGCTGTTGACGCCTCCGCCGATTGTGCCTCCTCACGGCCCTGGCAATCATTTAGCACTTAGTGTACCAAACACCCGCAGAGGGAGGAAGAGAACAAGGGAGTAGGGGGTGAGAGAAAACGAGAAACAGAATGTGGCGCACTCTCTCATTTTTTTTAAAATTTCCATCCAAGCTCAGATTTTCACACAGATTTACAGCTTGAAGGCAAAAGCTTCCACTGCCTTGGCAAAAAAAAAAAGAAAGAAATTAAAAAGAATGGCCGCAATAAAGCGAGATCTCTGCGCCGTCATCTGACTCCCACAGTCCTGCCAAGACGAGAGTGCACAGTTGTCAGGAAGCAGTTCAGTAATTTAGCTATATGTTCCAACTCTAATCCTCTCTCTACAGTCGCCCAATATTTGATGAGTAAATGCAGGATCCAGACGACAACACGGGCAGCTGCAGAGGAGCTTTAAAGCAGAAGAGAAATAAAGGCCTCGGGGAGAGTATCAGTAACAACAACGTCACCCTGCTCTCTGACCCGTGACTGTGGACCGTCCCCTTGGGCTGATCAGCGGGGTCTGAGGCCACGTCCTTGTTCATGTGGATACATCTGAAACTGCATCCGCACTTTAACACTTCCAGGTGATTGTGAAAGGTTGCTGCTCCCACTGGGGCTGTAATAATTAGTCGATTAAATGACTCAAGTCATTTTTCAAGCAATAAAGCAAGAGATGTGATGGTTAGAGATCCTTAAACGTGAGGATTTGCAGCTTTTCTTTGTCGTATATCTGGTAAATGAAACCTCTTTGAGGTTTGGACTGTTGCTCAGACTAAACAAACAGTTTGAAGACTTTAGACTCTGGGAATCTTTATATTTTTGGACATTTCATAGACTAAACAATTGATGGGTAAAATAATCTGCAGATGAGTCAACGCTGAGAACAATCATTGATATGGCATAGCAGGCGAATTCAATACTTGTCACTTCAATCACTGACACTTGCGTTGCACAACTGGCTATACTGATGCACACAATAAGCAAATACAGATGGATTTGGAGGCCTCAAAAAGCCACATCGGTCAAAAGTATAGACAGTCTTATTTCCAATCTACATATCTAGGTGAGAAAAACTGTCTTTTCATCTACTTTGACAACAGAAGATTAGTGTGGATATGATGGGAAAAACCAAGCAAAACAGTTAAAAATGTTTTACATAACCCTCTAGATATCGTCAGAGCATCATATTATAATCAACCACGTTAAAGTGACATATTTTGAAGGGAAGTAATCTGATTGCGATGGTTGGAGAATTGTTTGCTGACGAACTGAACTACCGATTAGCTAAAGGGAATGATGTCTCTTTGAGGAAGTAACTGAACCAGAGACACGAAGCAGACACTGAGAAGAGGAAGAGAGAGCCGAGGACGAGTGCTTTCTCATGCTAATGACACTCCCACCCCCATTCAGGGATGGCTTCACCCTTTTGTGATCCCCACCTGTCAGTCAGGCCTCCATCGTGTCGACACAAGGGACAGAAACATCAGGATTTAATCTGAGTAAAGGGCCGTTGTTCACACTGTGTGTATGTAATATTATATGCAGACACACAGGACTCTACAATCTGTATTCAAATGACTGAGCACAAGTGAGTGAACTCTGCACACTATCATACCTCTAAGGATAATTGCTTTAGCTGCAAATGGGAAGCTGTAAAGGTCAAGTTTAGCCCAGGCGGCAAACTCCGGTTCTGTTGAGTGAAGCCAATGTGTCTTAAAACCTGCATTCTCTCTAATGTCCACCAGGGGGCGACTCCTCTGGCTGTATAGAAGTCTATGAGAAAATGACTCTACTTCTCTCTTGATTTATTACCTCAGTAAACATTGTAAACATGAGTTTATGGTCTCAATCTCTAGTTTCAAGTCTTCTTCAATATAGCATGATGTTCATTTAGTAAATTATGGTCCATTTAGAGTCAAACAGACCATAAAGCAGGGTAGGCTTCAAAACGGCGGTCCACAAACCAACGGGTGACGTCACGATGACCACGTCCATTTCTTATATACAGTCTGTGGTTTACACAGCTACGGTGATGAGAATGCTTATGTTATGGCTAATGATTAAATGTTTGGCCTACAAGTTCATGTCTCTTTTTTAGACAAACAGACATCCAGGTAAACAGAAAGTAAACCGTTCCAACAGCTGAAACATACATCTTCATGTGGAACTGGAAACGTAGGAAAGAAAAACACTCTGTTGTCATCTGATGGTCCTGAAACACCAGCAGCAAGAGAGCAGAAGCCCAAGAAAAACAAGCAGAGCATCCTTCAGCATTGGTGTGCTGTCAAAGTGTCCGCTGCTGAACGTTCATGCAGAGGAAAAGTGTAATCTGTGAAGCCGTGGGACTTTGGGTGTGAAAATACTGTTGAGGGTGAAAAAGGAGAACAGAACTCATTTCCTGTTCTTGATTATACACCATCTGTGCACTTTTTGAAGACATCCTGTGACACTTCTGATGTTTTTCTTTCCTCCCGTCAATGCAGCACTCTTGAATCCTCATGGTGGTTGTATTCACAGGGAAACAAACAATACACAATACATGTACCATGATGCGCTAGGATTGAAAGGAAACGTCTGGAAAAACAGCAAAAAGCCATGTTGTGTAAGAAATGAGACTTTCTGAAACGTTCTACGTACAACCAAAAAACAACCATTACAGACACTCTTTTGTAAGGGCTCTTATGCTGCCTTGAGTGGAGCCTTGTGCATGCAAATTCAAGCCAATCCACACAATACACTGAGAGGTTCACTGTTCAATGCAACTATATCTTGCCATCAGTTAAGAGTTTTATGTGTTGCCATGGCGGTGCCCAGCTTTTTTTTTTTTACATATACAAATAATTTTTTGCTCCACGAATCTCTGAATTCAGGTCACATCGATGTTTTCTACATTTCCCTGAAAGTCTGCAGGAATAATAACTTTATAGAGCAAACTCCTGCTCCACCAGACCGCTCTCACAAAGACTGCAGTGAAGCACAACAGTAACTCTAGAGGAGGAGGAGAGACGTACGATAATTACTTCTACTTGTAGTCAGTTTTTCCAAGGCTGGAAGGGGACTTTTCAATGGTGTGACTGATAATAGAATAATTAATGCATGAGGAGGTTTTGACAGCACGTAATGGCACTATTGTTCAAAATGCAGCTCAGGAAATTCAAATCAAGATGTAGAAGTGAAGACGGACTAATGGCAAACGTCAGCACGAGAATGCATCGACGTGCTGACGATGTGCATTTTTCTGCAAATTGCTATGAACTGCAGATAATTTGTTGGTAAATGCCATCAGCATAGCAGAGGAATTAGTGTGTTTGCGTAG